GCAGCCACCGAAAGGAGGAGGGGGTTGCAGGAATTTCTGAAGAAGATCAGGGAAGGGGATTTGCCTGGAATAAATGAAAAGATAGAGAATATTCCAAAACAGATCACAGAAAATAAACGACTATGTGACTCTGAGATTAAAGAGTTACAGAATCATTTAAATCAAATAATGGCCAGGCTGACAGAAATCATACAACGTAATGAAAAAACATTGGAAGAAAATTTGGTAAAAAGGAATGATCAATTGAATCTTGTGAAATCTGAATTAGAAAAGAAGAAGAGAGGAATTGTTGGCACACTGGAATTCATGGAGGAGAACAACAGCACAATGTCAGATTACAGCTTGATTGACAACCACAGAGAACTGAAGAAAATGCTGTCTGAATTGGAGGCTCATGCGACAAACTGTGACCATTCAGTTAGGTTCATTAAAGGGAAAATTGATGATGAATTACTTGAGTCTTTGGTTGGAAAAATTTTAAATTTAGATATTAGTACGGATCAAATAAACTCATTTCAATATGGAGATAAAGCTATATATGCTTTGGAGGCAATTAGTGAAGACCAATGTTACATAAATGAATTAAATTCAAAATATATACAAAAAGTCAATAAGCAAGGCAAAAAATTGCATAGATTTAGTGTTGACCCTAATGACATGTGTGTGACTGGTAGTGGTGATGTTTATTTTTCTGACGGTAGAAACAAATCCATCAGTTGTCTGTCACCATCAGGATCTGTCTCTACAATCATCAGTACAGATCCACTGGTACCAGGAGGAATCTGTCAGTCAGTGGACGGTGGATTACTGGTCACCTTGAGAGATGAGGAATCAGATTTTTACAAATTAAAGTCGCAAAGCAGACGTCTTGTGAGACACATCACAATGACAGGCGATGTCATCCATAAGTATGAGTACCAGGAGGACGGTCAGACCAGATTGTTTATACGGCCAACCAGAGTCACACAGAATAGTAACAGTGATATATGTGTTGTAAACAATACAAGTCCCACTACAGGTGAACTAGTGATAATGTCTCCCTCTGGTCGTATGAAGTCTGTCTACCGTGGACAGAACCTGACTGATGACTTTAGACCACGTGATGTAAAGTGTGACTCCCTCTGTAACATCCTTGTTACTGACCTTTTGAACAAACAGATCCATCTCCTAAGTCTTGACGGGGAGTTCTTGAAGTTCTTACTGACAGAGAGTGAAGTGAACAATCCAGTCAGATTATCCCTATACAAGTCTACATTGTGGGTTGGATACCATGATGGACTTGTCAAAGTGTTTCAATACAAATTATGAAATGAATAATACATGTACATATTATTAAGGAATTCATTCTATACATGAATTTATTAAAATTTACAATGTTAAATACATGAATTATTTCAGGAAACATTGTCTAGTTCGTATAGTATGTCAGGGCATCAACGATGGTGAGAAACGTGGGATAAGCATATGGGATTTGCATAGATTATCCCACGCTTCCCACTATCGATAATGTCTATGGCATACTATACTAACTACACAGCCATTCCTTATATTTCCAAAATACTTTTACTGACGTTAACAACCAACAGATTCATCTGCTAAGACCTGACGGGGAGTTCATAAAGTTATTTCTTATAGACAATCAAGTGACAATCCATTCTCACTGTCCCTATACAATTTTTTTTACTGTGGATAGGATACTGGGAAGGAGTTGTTAAAGTGTTTCAGTACAAATTGTAAAACGAAATATACATGAATTATTCTGGAATTCATTCATATGGATGGGTTGCATGGAAGTACATATATATTATGAGGTTTGTTCGAAAATTTCGTGAACTTCCGCCGTCTTTTTTATTTGACGTCATATTTTAACAATAAATCCAAATTATTTGAATTAATTTCTTTTTTTTTTAAATATCACGATTTATTCAAATTTTAAAAAAGCAAAAATTGGATCGCGGAGCATGACATTGTCAAAATTTCGTAAGTTACAAACAATACACTAAATAATGGCCTTAATAATGTATGTAGCTATATTGCTTGTAAAATGGAGAAAAACGAAAAACAACCTAGAAATTCAAATTAAGAAGTATTATATCGGTTCGTTGTCCAGGTTATGGCTTATTTTTTTGCTTTGTTGAAAAGAAATCAACTTGAAAAGATAGGTAGTCCTCACAGAAAACGATATAAACAATTTATGATGTTTTAGAACGTCACGGAGCAGCAGATAATGATGCAATTTTGTATTTTACTCAGGAAAAATCCTGAATGAAATAAAAAATGTTGGAGGAATAAAAAAAAAATATGTCACAAGCGAGTTCTGCATGTATGTACAAAATAGTACAGGCAGTATCTGAGTGACAGACTCTGTATCGGATGAAGATAATCTGTGAAGAAACGGTTACTGTAAAAATTTAAACAGAAACTTTCTGAAAGTTGAAAAAAGGAAAGACATAGGCGCATCAGAGTTGCTTATTCTATGAAAGCAGAATTGTTATAACAGAAATGAAATCTTTCACAAAGGAAATCATACAACGAGAGCAATTCTTAAAAAATTAAATGGCAAGTATTAGAAAAAGGATTTAATGAGTGGGCATTGGATTATACTGTGTGAAATGTATAGAGATTAAGGAATTCATGACGCTATGTTTTGACGTTACATTGTCGTTAAGTGTGCTCCGCGGGTACAAAACATGTTGATTTTAAATGAAGTAAATTGATAGATGCTAAATCGAATGGAATGAAACTTCACATATCAACAAAACAAAAATTTTAACATTTTACATTGTGCTTATATTGAATTTCTTGAAAGTAATATAGCGAAGATCAACATTGTCCACAAACTTTTCGAACAACCCTCGTATATATGTTTATATACATTGTATATACTGATTGAATTCATTTGTATGAAATTACAAGATTAATCTTCATCAAGAAATATCAAACTTTACTTAGATATATCTGTACATGTATAAGGAGTAATTCTCATATTTTGTCTCCAAAGTTAAACTTATTAAATTTAAACCACATCTATGTACTTACTAACTGTTTTAGCATAATAAAAATAGGTGCCTCCACTTTCCAATATATGCTCTTGCTTATAATTGAGTCAACTGCAAAAACACAGAAGGCTTCTGAAAAATCAGCAATAAATTTAAACAAGAGGCCAACGGGCCTTATAGGTCACCTGAGTATCATGTAACAACTTTCCAACAATTGAATTGGTTCGTGTTTTAAATCAAAGGTCACGAAATTCAAAATTTTGAAAGAGGCACTATTGTTTATCATAACTATACACATAGCTTGCTTACTTTGGTTACTTAATACCCAAAGGTAGATCAAAGTAACAAAGAGAAAATGCATTTCCGCTTTATAACCAGTTGTGCACCCCATCCCACAGGAACCACTGACCCTGGGGGCACATATTTCAAAATTCTGGAAATTTTATCATAAATTTTATTTCATCATAAATGGTTGATTAATACCAAAAAGCAGATTTTAAAGCTTCCATTTATTTTCAGACTATGTAACCCCCATCCCACCCCAAGTACCCTGGCCCCGGGGGCCCTGAAATTAACAATATCGGAAAAGGCGCCTTTCATCATCATTAATATGTACTTAGAACATTGGCATGACACCCAGGAGCAAAGGAAAAGGTTTTCGAAGAATTCATGCATTTTCAATAATCATTATAGCTCCGCCCTAACACTAAAATCCCAGACCCTGGGGCCCTAAAATTCACAAATCTGGAAGAGGCATCCTTCCTCATCATAATTATGTACACATTGCATTGGTTTAATACTCAGGAGCAGAGGAGAATATTTTTAAAGAATTAATGTATTTTCACTTTATAGCCCCATCCTAACACCAGAACCCGTGACCCTGAACGTGTGCGGCCATAAAAATCACAACTTTGGAAGAGGCCCTCTTATTCAACATAACTATGAACTTGTTTAGTTTATTTAATACCCAGGAGCACAGAAGATTTTTAAAGAATGTATTTTCACTATATTATCAATACAGCCTGCCCTAAACCCAAAACCCCCTACCCAGGGGCCATGAAATTCATCTTTTTGGAAGAGACATTCTTGCTCATCATAACTATCCACATGGTTATAATTTGTTCAATACCCAGGAGCAGAGAAGAAAATTTTCAAAGCATCTATGCATTTTTACTATATAATTCTAAATAGAACCCCACCCTAACACCAGAACCCATGACCCTGAAGCCATGAAATTCACAATATTGGAAGAGGCAATCTTATTCAACATTACTATGTATTTGGTTTGTTTATCAAAATACCCAGGAGCTAAGAAGATTTTCAAAGAAATAATGCATTTTCACTATATAATTTATATAGCCCTGCCCTAGCACCTAAGAACCACTGACCCTGGGGCCATGAAATTCACAATTTTGGAAGAGGCACTCTTGGTCATCATAACTATGTACTTATTTAGTTTATTTAATGTCCAGGAGCAGAGAAGAAGATTTTCAAAGAAATAATGCATTTTCACTATATAACCTATTTAGCCCCGCCCTAGCACTCGAACCCCTGACCCTGGGGCCATGAATTTCACAATTTTGGTAGAGGACTCAATGCTAATTACAATCATGCCAACAGTTTGACTGCTTGATGTCCAGGAGTAAAGAAGATTTTTAAAGATTGCATTAATTTAAGTGGCTTTGACAAATCCCTCAGGCCCCAGGGGGGCAAGGAAAATGAAATTCAAAATTTTCGTTCAACTTCACCAATAGATGCTTTATGCCAAATTTGGTTGAAATTGGTTGAGTGGTTGCAGAGAAGAAGCTGAAAATGGTCAAATAATACGCACGACAACAGACAAAAACAGATAGCAATAGGTGACCTAAGTTTACTTAGGTGACCTAAAAATCAAGTTATTCTGCGGGATTATATATTCAGCTATTTTATTTTCGATTTAAGGGAAGGTCACTCTGATTAAAAATACCATGGAGAACACTAGAAACAACAGAATAAGGGAAATCTAGTTTAAAATACTTTAATGTATTTAATATCATTCATAGAAATAACAATAAATAAATGCCATAATCTGAGGACTCGATAGTAAAGCCCTGCTATAACAAAGTCTGTCTTTGATAATTTTTACAACAGGTGCCCTTGAAATTAATGAGTAAGGTTGTACAGCTAAATGCCATCAGAGGTGGGAAAATAAATGTTGTGAATAGATAGTTCATGAGAAATGCTGCTGAAAAAAACAGTCCTTGAATGGCAGATGTGCTTCAATGTATGTCGTTAATATCATTTAGTACGTATATAAATGGAAGACATTTATCAGTTTTGCTAACACATAATGATTGACTTTGGGTTGCATTACCAATGTAATAAAAAATTACAGTCAACAAAAATATGTTTGAAAAAGTATAAAAATATAAATTATACTTAATAGATACATGTATATTGCAAACTTACATGTATACTTTTAAAAATACACTATATGAAAAGGTGTCCTAAACACTGCATGTGATCTTTCTCAAAGTATATGAGATGGATCTCTAATGTATTTAGGACTGCACTGTGCAAAGCACTGAAGAAAAAGTTCTAATGAGAAGTGAGAAATCATTGCTCAATTGTGCAGACATGAATTGCTTCTAGATGAATTGGTTGAATATTGCATAGAAACTGTCACAACCTTCTGGCAGTGGTTAGCTTGACACTGAAAAGACACACATAAATTCATTAAAAAATGACCAGGGCTCCCACTACTATTTTTATGCAGCCATCAGTAAGGAATGTAGGTTATAGTCACCTAGGAGTTGTCAGTTAAAGTGTGAGGAATCTCTTCTATAAAAAAACCAGGCACCAGTCCTCGACGTCCATTGATCTAAATACAAAGTAGAAATAATACAAATACTGCTTGACAGGCTTGGTTGAAATACAAGAGGCCCATGGGCCTTATAGGTCACCTGAGCATTATGCAACAACTTTCTAGTGATTTGATTTGATTCATGTTTTAATCCGGATGCTATGGCATTCACAATTTTGAAAGAAGCACCATTGATCATCATAACAATACACTTAGCAGTTGCTTAGTTTGTTTACTTAATACACATAGGCAGGGTAGGGGAACAAAAAATGCAATTCAAGTAATCAGTTGTAATATTCAGCATGATAAGTAATGCCCCAATCACACATGAACCCTTAGGCCTAGATCCACACATTGCACAATTTTTGAAAAGGCACCCTTGCTTTTAAAAAATATTTGATTAATACCAAGGAGCAGATTTCAAACAATTCATCCAGTTTCAGAATACAAGTACTGCCCCCCCCCTCTCCTTTATGGTACCCCTGACCCTGGGGCCTTGAAATTCACAATTCTGGAAGATTAGGACCCTTGCTCATCATAACTACATAGGTAGTTCATCTGCTTAATACCAAAGAGCAGAGAAGAAAACTTTCAAAGATTTAATGTATTTTCACTATATAATCAGTAGAGCCCCGCCCTATCACTAGAACCCCTGACACTAGGGTCATAAAATTCAAAATTTTGGAAGAGGTATTCTTGCTCATCATAACTATGTAATTAGTTTATTTCATTCCTAGGAGCAGAAAAGAATTTTTTTCAAAGAATTCATGTATTTTCACTATATAATCTATAGAGCCCCCCTCCCTTACACCAGAGCCCCTGACCCTGGGGCCATAAAATTCACACTTTTGGTAGAGGCACTCTTGCTCATCATAACTATGCACTTAGTAAGTTTATTTGATACCCAGGAGCAGAGAAGAAGATTTTCAAAGAATTCATGTAATTTCACTATATAATCTATAGAGCCCAACCCTAACACCAGAACCCCTGACCCAGGGGCCATAAAATTCACAATTTTGGTAGAGGCACTCTTGCTCATCATAACTATGCACTTAGTAAGTTTATTTGATACCCAGGAGCAGAGAAAAAGATTTTCAAAGAATTCATGTAATTTCACTATATAATCTATAGAGCCCAACCCTAACACCAGAACCCCTGACCCTGGGGCCATAAAATTCACAATTTTGGTAGAGGCACTCTTGCTCATCATAACTATGCACTTAGTAAGTTTATTTAATACCCAGGAGCAGAGAAGAAGATTTTCAAAGAATTCATGTAATTTCACTATACAATCTATAGAGCCCCCCTCCCTTACACCAGAGCCCCTGACACTGGGACCAAAAAATTCACAATTTTGGTAGAGGCACTCTTGCTCATCATAACTATGCACTTAGTTAGTTTATTTAATACCCAGGAGCAGAGAAGAAGATTTTCAAAGAATTCATGTAATTTCACTATATAACCTATAGAGCCCCCCCCCCCCCCTTACACCAGAACCCCTGACCCTGGGGCCATAAAATTCACAATTTTGGTAGAGGCACTCTTGCTCATCATAACTATGCACTTAGAAAGTTTATTTAATACTCAGGAGCAGAGAAGAAGATTTTCAAAGAATTCATGTAATTTCACTATACAATCTATAGAGCCCCCCTCCCTTACACCAGAGCCCCTGACACTGGGACCAAAAAATTCACAATTTTGGTAGAGGCACTCTTGCTCATCATAACTATGCACTTAGAAAGTTTATTTAATACTCAGGAGCAGAGAAGAAGATTTTCAAAGAATTCATGTAATTTCACTATTATAATCTATAGAGCCCCACCCTAACACCAGAACCCCTAACCCTGGGACTATAAAATTCACAATTTTGGAAGAGGCACTCTTGCTCATCATAACTACGTACTTAGTAGGTTTATTTAATATCCAGAAGCAGAGAAGAAGATTTTCAAAGAAATAATGCATTTTCACTATATACTTATTTAGCCCCGCCCTAGCACTAGAACCCATGACCCCGGGGCCATGAATTTCACAATTTTGGTAGAGAACTCAATGCTGATTACAATCATGCAAACACTTTGACTGCTTGATGTCCAGGAGTAAAGAAGAAGATTTTTAAAGATTGCACTATTTTTAGTGTTTTTTGCCCCACCCCCCAGGCCCCAGGGGGGCAGGGATCATGAAATTCACAATTTTTGTTCCCCTTTACCCATAGATGCTATATGCCAAATTTGGTTGAAATTGGTTCAGTGGTTTCAGAGAAGAAGCTGAAAATGTTCAAATGTTAACGCACGACACACAACGAACGACGACGGACGAAAAGTGATAGCAATAGGTCACCTGAGTTTACTCAGGTGACCTAATAAATGCAAATAAATAAAATTTATCAAATTCAATATTTTTCCAAGAACCACATTAGAATACAAAAAAGAAAAATCTTCCATACATCTAATTTTAACTCAATATAAAGTGAAGCTTCATTGAACAATTCATATTATATGCACCAAATATTTCAGAAATCTGGATATACCCAGATAAACGAGGCTTGATTGTGCAGTGCCTCTTTTCTTTCAGTGTATTAAGTCACATTATTCTGTTATTGCACCATTATTTTTAAGTCAAGACAATCTTATAAAATCATGTAAATGAAATATATAATTAAAATTTCATGGGCAAGATTTCCAACACTGAGAATTTTTCTACTATTTACAAGTCTTAAAATGCAACTGATCTGTAATAGTACGGAAAACTTACCTCTCCATAATAAAATCCATCTACTCTTTCCTCCCCATAGACAAGGATTCTCTCCCCTGCCTGAAACGGAAGTTCTAGTCGCCCATGTTTACCCGGAGATGGTACAAAGTCATACACACCCACAAACTGTCAAAAACAATTTTTTTCAATTAGAATGATCATAAAACTGCCTATCAGTGTGTAGATCACTTGAGGGACAAGCTTCATGATTTTGTTGGTCACCCATACCCATGAATTTACCTCCCAATGAACAATTATTTTGTAAATCATATTTATTCATTGAAACTTCTGTATGTAACAGCTACCCATGAAATTAAGTTCCCCAGAATCAATTAAAATTTTGCTTGCCCATGAACATTGACCCACATAAATTAATTACGGCAAGTAAATTTTGACAATGCACTTGCCAATGAATGAAAATGATTCTACAGTAAGTAAACTGAGTTTCATTGCACACAATAGCCTTACCATACGTTTGTGTGAGGAGGAGTACACTTCGTGACTCCTGACAGCTGATGGGTTTTCTTCTGGTCCCTCAAGGTCACCTGTTACAGGGGCGTTATGGACGGTTTCCACGACGTCAGAACACTGTCCCCCCGATCCGAGGGTCTGTATACTAAATGCCTGACGCTGGCGGGTGTCCACGTTCTTGACGATGGTTTTGGCAATGTGAGGACTGCTGGCTTGTTGATGAAGCTGACCATTTAAGTAGATCTAAAACAAAGATGATCATTACTGAAAATCTTCATATTGGAGGTTATGCATTGATTTACAAAGCAGAAAAGATTATTATTGAACATTTTGATCTTTAACGTTATGTGTTGATTAAATGAGACGGGCAGATTTACATGCAGCCTTTGTACTTTATACATGTACGTTCAGATTTTGTATGTTTGATACTCCATTCTCTTCAATGTTGTGTCCAGATCAACATGCTTATATCTGTTATTGATACTCAGTGCTACATTTTTGTACACAGTAGGTGTCTATTCACTTTGTACTTCATACATCTGACCCCCATATCGTAATTGTTGTGTGTGACTACTTACTTTATACCCAGTACATTTGACCCCTCTATTTAGATTGTTCTCGGTGAATTTTGGAGGTGTCCAAGCCAACATCAGAGTGTTCCGGTTTATGACCTTCTCAACTCGGAAATCTTTAGGTGGATCTGGATACTCTATAATCAAAAAAAAAATTCTTAAACACAACATTCTGAATGCATAGTAGTCCTTCATCACATAGTTATAGACAGACAACATTACTTATCCTCTTCTCTTTGAAACAGCTGTCATACATTACATATTTATAGACTGACAGACAATACTGCATGCCATCTTCTCTTAGAAACACATTCACCAACCTTGAGAACTTACCAGATGTCCTTGCTGATGTGGTAGAGTTTCTGCTAAATAAGGGGGATAACTCAGGGACATGGCCATTTATCCTTGGAAACAAAGGGGCACCTGCAACATTGATTATATATCAAATATAACTTCATTATTTCAAACTTAAAGAAATTAAGGGGAAAAATGAGATATCAAAGGGTCCCAGACATTGACATAAAAATACACATACATAAGGAAAAGGTGGTAGTGACTTCAACATATCTATAGTATTTCAGATACCAAAGTTAAACTGTATTAGTTCTTACAGAAAATTATTCAAATTGTAAATACATGTATACTGATTCCCCAATTCTAAGATAAGGATGTCCTTACCACTCCTATTTTGTGCCTGTTGGAGTTGATAATGTGTCTCCACGATTCTCTCAGGACTCGCGTCAAGATAAGCCGGAGGTTTCTGTCCCATAATTCCCTTCCAGCGTCCGTTTTTTTGGTCGGCAAGGCTGGCGGGACGTAGATAAGCTGCTGGGACAAGTCCTGTTCTACCATTCACCTCGGCCAAGTAATAACCTGTGTCATCAAGTGGTCCTACAGAAAATGTCAATTTTGTCAATGATCAATGATCATGTCAATGATCCATTAAATAATCTATGGCTTTATTAGAACGGATGATTTCAAAAATTCCTTAGCACTTGGTAAAGATGGATAAAATGACAACGAAATTAGGGTAAAACATTTTCAAGGGAAAGTTTATAGTGAGTGATTATGAAATTCTAGATACATGCATTATCTAAATCATATGACAGTAAGTTACCTTTCACAGTGACTTTGTCCCATTCCTGCAGCCTGAGTTCCTCTGATGGATGATGACTTCTGGAGAAGGTCAGAGGATCATAATTGGCTACAGCTATAAATAGCGGGTCAGGTGGCATGTGACCTACAGGAAGTGGCTCGTTAGGTGAACCGTAACTAGGCGACATTTGACCTCCCTGAATGTGTGGCAGTCGTGATGTGTGTGTGGATGGTGGTAGCAGTCTCAGTCGCCTCTCAGTGTGGTGGTTTGATCGGCGGATGATAGGGGTCACCATTTCTGTGTCGCTATGGGCAACATGGTCCTGGCTGTCACTGACAGAGGAATTTGACCTTGACCTCTGCAGGTCAATCATGGACACAGAATGTCTGCTCAGATGATTTGCTTGCTGTAAACAAGAAGTTAATTTTTCTTTAATTTTAGGGCAATATATGAAAATGCTTCATGAAATCAAAACAAATCTCAAGACTGATCATTCATTCTTCACAAGATTATGTCTTAATTTTGAGGGTTTCTTTTCCCCTAAGAGACTTTCATTACAAACAATTTAGAAAACATGTCTTGTCATATTATTCTTATCTTTTGCATTGAGTTCCAATCAAATATGAGCACATCCTTAAATTTCATCTTTAGGTAAATTAATCAGTTAAAGTTTCATTGTATTTTTGCCTGAGATGATTTCCTACCTGAGGAGATCCTTCATCCAGTACATTATACTCCTCAGAAGGCATCCTCTGCTCCATTAAGGCCAGTTCCTGGAGAAGTGACCCCGGCCCGCCAACCATCTTCAGTTTACGTAATTCTGCTCCTAGTTTTCTCAGCAGATCATCCTAGCAATGTCAAAATAGAAAAAAAGCTATTATTCATTCTTAAAATTTTCAAAGAAACTGATGTATTGCTATTTTCTTTAGCAAAAATTCTGTTAGCAAGTTCAATCAGATGCCTTCTGTATGGGGTCAGGAGCTAAACGCCATAAAAATATGCAAATCATTTGAAATTGAGATCTTAGCGGGGGAAATTTCCCCAAACAAGTAAGTTTACAAAGGATCCTGGACCTACCTTTTCCCGACATTTCTGCATCAGTCTGGCCAGCTTGGTTTTCATTGGAGTCACAGAAAGTAAAACTTGTTCATTCTTAGTTTCCAGATCATGGCACTAAAATTAAAATGAAAACATGAAAACAGTGAATTTAATCATACCGGTATACCCCAAATTTAGGCAGCAACCAATCCCCTTGATATATTGGATGAAAATATTTATGAACTAGCTATTGACATCCATTTGCTTTATGTTCTAAAACAAACATGAAAGTATTTATCTACACAAACAAGAATTGCATCAGTAAACCATTACTGTAGCTGTGATAAGCTATAATGCTAGTGACTAACAATCATTGGCAATAATAGCTCTGAGAAAATAATTTAATGTCATGCTGAAATGCTTTTTGTAATTTCTACAGAATTAACTTTGATTTGAGCACAGAAAAACACTTAGGAAAGGTGACAGTTGTGAAACTTTTGAACTTTCATTATCAAAGAAAGAAAAAAGACAAAGTGAAAGTACATGGTTGTACAATTCAATATAAGAAAGAAAGAGAAGCTGGAGTAATTTTTAAGAAGCAGAAAATAGTATCTTAATTGACTAAATAAAGATGCAAACAAATGGACACATATTTTCCTTGCAATATTTTTTAAAAAGTTTTTAAAGATAAGCTTTGTATCCGAGTTGATTTGTTCATTTAGAAAATAAAAACATATATGCACACAAGAAATATCTGAAATGGAAATAATAATGAATTCAAACTATAAAACAAGCTGTGTTTTATCCTAGAAACAGTTTTATTGTGAGGACAACATTGTAGACACAGTTTTACCCTGGAATGAATACCCTGCACACTGGATAGAGATTGATGGAGCTTCTGGTTTTCACGCTCAAGAGAGACAATTTTGGATTTGTAAGTCGATATCTCTTCAATCAGAGATTGGATTTTCTCTGTCTATAATTATATTTGATTATGATTAAGAAAGCAAGGACCAGCAATATTTCAATGGCACATTGAACAAATCATTAATACTTTCATGAGTACTTTCATTATATTAAAAAGATAATTTTTTCACCAAAGACAATTACATACAATTTTTAGTTTTTCACTCTGAAATAAATCTTTTACATCTTTAAGTGTCTACATTTAATAAAAAAAAGAACAAGTGCCAACAAATTAGGAATGATACCCTATTTTGCAGAACAGAGGTCATGTGATCAAGTTTTCCTTCAGAAATATCGACCTCACTCCTCAACTCTGCAGCAATCATTAGTTCCCTCTCTAGTCTGTTGACCTGGTCTCTCAGGTCATTTCTGTCAATTTCTACCAGTTCTAAGTCCCTAAGCTGGAGCTTCAGTTTATCATACTGTTTTAAAGGTTTACAGGGAAATCATTGAGACAATTCAATAGTTATAAAATTATACAAGAGTACAAGCCCTTCATTTGAAGAAAATGAGATACTGAATACATATACCTAAATTGTAACAAATCACATAATTTTTATTTCCTTAATGGTATATAAAGCATAAACTATCCAAACTAGGTATGCTAACAGTATGACTCGGGAAGCTTTAAATTCAATCCTTTAATATACAAGTCTGTATCATCTTTGTTCCTTTAATCTGCTACGAATCAGTGACAACTCCAGTGGGAGAAAATGAAGGATGTTAAAGAATGAAACAATTAACACAGTGAGAGATTTGAAGATGTCTATCATCATGTCTTTCAAATAATAACTCATCATTATGTGATACAAAAAGTCTTTATAATAACAAAAGTAATAGCAAAGACTTAAACTAGAAGGACTTGGAAAGAATACATATAGCTATAAGATAACTTACAAATGGCATATGTATTGAAAGAGCTACATCTACACTAATTTCTATTATTATTTATATCTATTGAGAATTATGTTATAAGTACACACCTGTTCCTGTAGTTTGTTGTAGGCGTCCTTGGTGACCTTGAGATCTTTCTCTGTCCCGTGTAGATCTGACACCTCCAGCTCCAGACAGCGAAGGGAATCCAAAGCATTAGTACGCATGTCCTCAACCAAACGGCATTCCTCCTGCCATTGACGAAGTTCACGCATCAAACCATCCACTTCATTTGTCTGTATGTAAAGGATATGAACAATAACTATAATGTTGACACAAGTCTTTCTGCATGCTATTTTTAATAAGGCTAAGTTGGCAGTCACTTTACCACAGATTTTTCTCCAAGTATATATAGAGTTAAACATATTAGGCATACATATATGTATTGTGTCAGACTAAGAAATCTGCATAACTTTCTACCCTTGGACTGAACAGAAATTATTATTCCACTGAAATATGACTCAGAGGGAAAAAATTGATTAAATTGACATCCTTATATAAAGCAAATTGAATATAGGTTTCAAATTCACTGTAATCTCATGATATTTTTATCAAATTTGTAGAATTGCAAAATTATATGCTTGTCAACAACTAACAAGCAGGCATGTGACAGAAATGAGCATTATTCTACAATGTAGAGTATATTTTACCCCCTCAGTTCTATAACAGTGTTATAATCAGTACATACTTTAGCTGTAAGTTCCCGGTCTTTTTTGGCCAGTTCTGTGTTCAGTGCCACTGGATCCTGGTTCAAGTCCAGTTTCTGACAACCAGAATCCTGTAGTTCCTCCAGAGTTTTAATTAACTCTGCCTCCATAATCTGAACTAACTCCCGGTCTGGCTTAGAATCCTACAAAAATATCAAACAAGTCATGGGTAAGCTTCAAAATATCATTGTGATATAAAAATGTCATGAGAGGTCATTTATCACACAAACCTAGAAGTGATTTTACATGTACGCGTAACTAATGCCGTGTTCTGTTTAACAAATTGTACGTGTACCGGTGCGCGTAAAACGTCATTTCAACATGTCACTTTACAAACCATTTGTATCAAATAAATCTGTTACTTGAAATAAAAAAAGACATTCATTATTCATACTAAATGCCGAATTTACATTCTTATGTTAAACTTTTTACAACTCATGATGAGGTAAATTGCATTATCTCCACACATACATGTAGACGTACACTGTCGTCTGCTTAACCTCTCTATCATTCAACTTTTTGAGATATTTCTCCACCAAATCACCCATCAGTTTAAATATTAATATCTAACACTGTCTAATGCTTTAAGGTAATTAAAACTGTCTTGAGGTCACAATATGATACTTAATTCTACTCACCTTCATCTCCAGCAGGGCTTTTAATTTTTCTACGAAGTCCTCTAAAATGAGAATGTATCTAGCTTTGTCCTCTAGATCCTTTTCTAATTTATTTATCTGTAAAACATCATCCAATCATTAAAATCAAAATATTTGTATTATTTCAATTTCTTTTTCCTGGTCTCTCAATTTTCCCTCTACGAAGTAGAGGTAAGAAAGACTGGGCTAATTTATAAATCATACAAGGACATTCATTAGAAATCACATGCTTTTGTTCATAGTGAGAGTGAAAATAAAATCACAAAGCAAAGTCAACATGGCATGATAGAAATGAGATGTAAATTTAATCCCTCTTTTCAACAGTGAGGACAATAAATTACTGTAATAAATAAATCGAGAAAATTTTTTTAAAAATTGTTTAAATTTTTTAAATAATTTTTTATTGTGTGAAAATCCAAATAAAATGATAAAAGTCATAGTAAAGGTTCAACAACATCATCACCAATCTTTTTCAACCAATGACCCTTTTTAAAATATATACACATGGATTACACTTCCAACATTCTATCAAGTGAAGACATTATTTTTTAATTTTTTTTTTCATTGTCAAAATGCTTTCATTTACTCTGTCCTACTTTTTATCAAATGAAGATATTTTAATTTTTTTCTGAAATTGCATAAGAACCAATAGGTCAACCCTAAACAAATGAAAAGTGAAAAAAAATAAATGGACAGTGATCAAACAATTTATACCTCTGTACATGTACACGTAAACCCTAAAATCAATATATAGATTTATTACATACAGGTGATGACAAAAGTCCAGCATTCCTGACATTTTGTGTTATCACAACATTAGAGTATACCTTTAACTGACGTCTTCGAGATGGGGGAAGCTATAGGTATAGTATTAAGTAATCAATAAATGTCACAAATAACATAGTTTGTTCACTGTTTTTTTAATCCTTTCATTGAAAAGGAGAGGAGTAATTTTTAGGAAGAGTTACACAGTCTTCCTTAGTATATGAGAAAATTATCTCACCTTCATCGAAAATGTTCATTTGAAAGAAACAAAATAGGACCCAGGTTTCATAAATTCAATGAACTTCAAAATTTACCTCTTGTTTTAAATATTTAGATTCTTTTTCAGCATCTTCTAGTCTTCGTGAGGAATCGCTTGCCTGTAAAAAAATAAATTCATGAAATAACAAATTTCCTACACAGACACATTTTCAAAATGCTGAAAAACATCTAAACTTAGCACAACTTTGATCTACAATGGTTTTTATTAAAATAGATTATTGGAGCAAACAACCCTGATAATCATGATAATACAGAAAAAAATGTTGCTTATCTCTTTGACCAAAACAAAATCGAAGTAGCTTTATTTATAAAAGATCCCTTTATATTTAGGTTACCGGTACCTTGGATTTCCAGACAAGCAGGGAATCCTCATCATCTGACAGATCACTGACACAGGACAGAGGGCGCTTCTGGAAAAATAAAACACAGATGGAAAACCTGAAATAACCTCAGAACTATTTGCTGCCAAAAATAGAATCTGTTGCCTTAAATTGGACATCTAGATATAATACATCATCTTCTCAACTAATAATGTTCATTTTCATTCATATTAGTCTAAGAATGATTCCATACAAAAGAGCATGAAAATTATATGAAAAACAAGTTACTGAAATAAATGAGTTGATGACGCAAGGGAAGAGCAGCAATCTCATTCAAAGTAAACTTTTTATAATTCTAAGATCAAGACAATGATCTTGTTAGCTTGACAGCTGTAACTTTGTCAAATGTTACCTGTAATGATTTTCCAATCTCTGCTATTTTCTCCTTCAGTGACAGCTGTGACTTCCCTGTGGAGGCGGCTGAGGTGGTTCCCACCGAGGTGGTTCCGTGTCCGCTGTCTGGGATACTCCCAGCTGTGTCCTCTGTCCTGATTGGTGGAGACATCATTCTGTATTCCTCCATCATATACTGCATCTCCTGCTCCCCGCCCACACTGTCGTGATTGACAGCTGGCACATAATAAGGAGCATCGAAATTGTTCAGGCCATGAACTGAGGATGGGGTAAGGTGGGGCTCTGTTCCATTGACTGGACGAAATTTTCTTCGTTTGACTGCGGGGCTGTTCCCGCTGGAATCCGTGTCATTCTGTGTAAACTGCTGACTCTCCGATTCTGATGGGAGGGTCAGGCCTGAAGAAAACAGGAACAGATTGTTTAAAAAAAAATCATACATCTGGGTCAGCCGAATAGGGTTGGAGATCAAATCCTCAGGCTGATACTTTTCTCTTTATTTATTAAAAAAACAATCCTCTTCAAGACAATGTGTTTTATCTTATAACAATATGGTTCAGTAATCTCTTCCTTATAGCAATACCATGGAGGCATATAGGATTTTCCAGTTATCACTAAACATTACATTTTCCCAATTACATACTCTTTGATGTAGCAAGGTGGTCAATAAAAATAAGACATTCTAAGTAGATAGTAAGGGGGCTTTAATACACATGACCAATCACCTTAGACTCTAATGTACATGACCTGACCTACCTAGCACCAGTTCTTCGTTACTGGGGTGGGACTGGTTTGGCACACTGGAATGTAGACTGGTAGCTTTACCCACGTGGATCCATCGCTCTGGGTCTGGGGGGTGGGGAAGTCGAGATTCCACCTGCCTCCAGTGAGCTTCTTCCCGGGGTGAGAACAGCTCGTCTTTATCAAGACGGCTGACAAAGTCATTTACCCTACGCTGACGGTCGTCGTGTGACATCGAGCTGTAGGGGTTCTTCTCACGTAAACCCTGTACCTCCTGAAAAATGACATGACAGAAAAGATTATTTTTAATATAATTTTTTTTTAATACATAAACTGAATTTTCCTTAAATCTAAGATCAAACAAAGAAATAATTTTAAAAACTGTAGATTTTTTTTTAGCCTCTGCATTTTTTGTTTTGGCTTTCATGTTTTTATATTTTTTTTTCTAAATTTTGGTTTCCATATAGATAGGTCTCTGTATGCTTAACCTGAAGATTTCTTTCCCCTTCTACACACTAGCTAGCTTTCACCTTTCCCTTTATAGCTAGTTTTCCAACACATGCAATGCAGTTATATCAGGTTCTGAAGCTGCATATACCTAGCATAATTTTTATTTCATATCACCTTTTAAACAAATTTTAACACATATGCTATGAAGTTTTCAGTATATAGATAAAGAATATAAAGTACCCTGCAGAGTATTACAAACATACACCCATGCATTATATAACTTATAAAATATCTAATTTCTTTATCCTTTAGCTATAGGGTATAATTTTCTTTTAAAACACATTGGGAAACTGAGCTACATGTATGCTTATGCCCTTTGAACCAATTGCCACCTACATCAGGGAGGGAACCAGGTGAAGGAGCACCAGTTTACTATTTATACCTCGGGATTGTCCAGTACAATAAACCTTCCCTCGTCGGTAAGATGAAGGTGTGCTTGACTTGTCTCCATCTGGTACAGGGAGGGTGAAACCATTAAATTATAAGCAAGTGATACTTGATTCATCACATTAATAATTACATGGACTTGAGTACTCTGGTAACATTACTCGTTAAGATATACATGTTTTACAGCAAATTCCAAACTCGCAAAAGATAAATGGTTTTGTGTCTGTACAGCTAGATGCAGTCTGATGGTCACATCATAGGGTTTTGACAATGATCATTGGACTCTGGCATGACCATTTGAATTTGTAGTCTTACATATATGCATTTACAGGAATTTATTTCATATGGAAAGCTTTGTGTATAAATTTTTTATATTTCAAATTTCCTTATTGGCAGAATCAAAATAAGGAAAGATAATTTTGCTGATCAAAGTTAATATATTAAACAAAACCTGCATGTATATGGTAATATACAAATAACAACAAACATATTAAATAACAGAAAAAGAGCATGAGAAATTATCTGGCTTGGATATTACAGTGTTTTTTCCTTAGAGGTTTATCAAATTTTTCACATTATTTAATGTTGAATCCAATTCAAATTGTTCAATACATGATGTATACATACTTCAAGAATTATGAAATGATAATATTTAGCAAGGGTCCCATTTTCATGCAACACACCGAAAAACCAAGCTGTGATACCATCAGATATAACTTGATCACTATAATACATGAATATGCTACTGAGATACCTTAAACAGATCCATGATCACATGACCACTAGCCGTAACCAATAAATTCGCTTCACTCCTTTCAACCTTTGTAAATGTTAATTGTTAGAATAACTTTTAGAAGGACAAGGTTAAATCATAGAACAGTGCATGCAAAGTTAGGAAAGGAAAGAAAGATGAAAATCTAAACAAAATTAATGGGTTTGAAAAACAAAGGAATCAAGGCACCATAGAACAATTGTAAAAAAAAAAAAAACAATCATAAAATAGCAAAGAAAACAGTGTGAATTAAAGTTTCAAGCACAGGTGTACTAAGATGTAATTACACACAAAAATGCAATAAAAAGAATTTGAAATAAAAAGGAAAAGTACCTTAGGAATCATCTCCTCATTTATAAGACCGGCACCAGACTGGTCATGTAGGGGTTGTCTACCCTTGTCCATGCTCATCAGCTGATCTGCCAGTTCCTGTACAGGGCGTCCAATCACATTGGACTGATTTGACCTTTGATTTTTGACCCTTCTCTCTGCCAGGTGACCTGGTCCCTCTCTTCGTGCCTGAGAGGGGACACTGTGGTCTTCGAGTATTTCTGAAAAGATCGAAGTCAACTCATTTTACTAAATATGTCAGTTAAATCTCAGTAATCCGTAGGTCAATATGTTGTTCTCAAATTTCTTACATGTAACAATAAAAATTTACAAGATTTCTTAAGGTAACAATATAATTTTTATATTTTACACAACTTTACTTTAATTACTAAGCTTCAAAATTTTATATGAAATAGGTGAAGATAGTGATCAGTGATTTTTTTAAACATCTTAATAAACAATGCACATCCATGAACACGGCATAAAGCACAGACACCTGGCCTGGATATGCCAGAGGTGGGGCCAAGTGTCTAATGATGAGTAAGCATCCCCTGTTTTTTTTTCTTTTTTAACCAAAAAAAAAAAACACATTTATTTTTAATTACCTTCATTAATATCAAGCCCCATGTGTATCTGCCCTTCCTCTAGAAGTTCCTTGAGTAACTGTAACAGAAACAACTAGTGGTCAAGTTAATAATTCAATGGATTGAACAGAAGGGTTAATTAGGCCTCAATATATTGTTCAGAAAAATACTTCATAGAGCTCTTAAATGTCTACAACTGATTCTGAACTTGGTTGCTACACATGCATGTAACTGTTGAATTGAGAAAAAAAAACACACGTAACTAGCATTTTTACATGAGTGTGATTAAAATATGTCACCCACCAAAATAGATTTGTTGCTCTCATGAAGTCTATTCTTCAGAGTTTCTACTTCAACTTCATGGCCACAAACATCCTAAAAATTAATTCAATCAGTGTCATAGAAAATCAAAAGAAACATTCTATATAAGTGCTGCTGGAGTAAATAAATATATAGTTCCTTTACATTATTACTGTTTAATATCCAACTTAATGTTAGTGTATAGCCTTGACTTTGAAATAGCATTGTACACAATAATATTCATTGATGTTTCATATGAATTTATGTTATAAGACATACAATTGGCCCAAAATTCATTTACAGAAACATCTTTGCCACATTATCTGTGAAGTCTATTAATAACTGTCTTTATTCTGTACTAACCTTTCCATTCCTCAGTTGCTCCACAGTTTTCTGTAGGTGTGAGTTGAGCTTCTCCACCTCCTGACATTCAGCCTCTCTCTGATCCAGTAGAACATCCCGAGCCTTCAATCTACGGAGCTCTGCACCAGGAACATTCACAAACTTGGCCTCGGGGTTCTGGTACTCGGTCAATTTCTTACAGAGCTGCTCATTACGATTCTGAAGGACCACAATTCTTCTCTGACAATCCTCTAACTTACGAGGCAATTTCTCTCTTTGTGAAGGACTTAATTCAGAAATGACCTACAAGAAAAATCACACCATCTTACAGGAAAATCAGAGCGGTATACCTACAATATCTATTTTCTTATCGTAGTACTGTGTGTTTTCATAATTTGGCGTATTCAAAATTTAGCGTAATCACTGGATATGGAGTTGTTGGCGTAAATTAGCCCTCTATGTCTGTTCTGTGTATTGTGTATATGTAAATGATTTCTTAGTGGTATCATTAAATTTTTTCCACCAAAGCCGCTTATTGCTTTTTATACACATACAGTTTATTCTTAGTCTTTACAACATCAGTGTAAAAGCAGACATAACAATTGCCAGATTCAGTTGTAAAAGCACATACATGTACGTGATGATTTTGTGCTTATTAGGTATATACCTGTGAGGCAGACTTCAAACCATTTTAATTGTGTGCACAAATTTTCACATATAACAATATTTCTGTGAGTTAAAGTCTATGTGTCTATTAACAAGAGAACCTAAATAGGCTTGATCACGAAAATTAATCGTCGTGAATTAGTTTTCCCTCGATAACTTGCGAAATAAAGTCGTCATGAATAAAAGTTGGATTATAGTAGTTGCTGATTCTGTTTATTACACACATACCTGTGAGCCAGATTCAAGTTGTTGGATCCTGTACTTGAGTCGATTCTCACTTCTCTGTAGATTCCCTATCTTCTCCTTCAGCGTTTCCTCTGACTCCTCTTTCTGTCTTAGTTTCCCTTCCAGCTCCACTTCTTTGATCTTACTGTTTTCCAGCTCCTTGTCCAAAGACTTCCCTGATGTCTGCAGTGAATTATTGTCTTTACTGACCTTCTCCAAGTCTGCATGGAGTGAAACGTTTTGCTGATCAAGAACAGCCAGCTGATTTTGAAGTTGTGTCATGTGATGTGAGATGGCCATGTTCTCCTGCATCATGTGGTTAAGCTGCTGTGAGAGCTCGATGTTGGCGTTGTGTAACTCTGCGAGCTGTTTCTCGGCGTTTGATCCCATCGTCTGCATGTCACTCAGCTTCTTGTTCAGACTGATCTCCTGGTTTTCCTGGTCTTTTGTCCTCTGTAACAGATTAGCCTCGGCTTTTTCCACCTCCTTCAACCTCTCCTCCAAATACTCCGATTTCTCTGACAGATTTAATTTCTCTTTCTCCAGGTTCTCTAACTGCTGCTTCAGTTGAGCCTCTGATGTTGACAGCTCGGATAAAGTCTCGTTCAGATTTGCCGACTTTGATAGCCACACTTCCTCGTCGAGTTTATATTTCCTCACCAGCTCCTTCAGCCTCATTTCCATGATCTTGAGCTCCGAGATCCGATCTTCCATTTTCGTGATTTGATCTTCCAGTTCCTCTACTTTGTTGAACAGACTCTGCTCAGAAGCATCCAGTCGGTTCAATTGTTCCTTCATGTTTTTCTCTGAAAGCTGCAGTTCCCGGATTCGGATGTTTTGTTCATGAATGGTGTTTTTGTCTTTCCTTGCTATCTCATGTAGCTCTTCTCTATCTTTTTCCAAGTCGGAAACCTACAATCAAATATGAAATTATCGTAAAGTTTTTGCTGTATTTTTTAAAATATACTACAAAAAAAATGTAACAAAACAGCCAAAATTTTGAGGCGTATATCATTTTGACATGAAAATTTCGACGTTTAAAATTCCAAAATCTTCAATGAAGCTAAAGTAAGGCATTTATCAAAAATTTCTTTAAAATTTTTACATCAATTTATCAACAACATGACAAATTTTTACATTTTACACCTAGGACTTTTTTAAATATATGAGATGTACACTTCACTCCCAAGGTCTCCAGCAAATGACTGAGGTGTTAACTGTTCATTGTTCACCTAGAACTCTAGCATTTACATACTACATATCTAAGATATGTGCATTGTATTTGAGGATTATGTGGTACTCCTGATATCAAAACCTTCTGTTTGAGAAGCACACCAAATCACTGTACACCAAAGGTCTTACCTGATGTTTAAAATTGAAATGATTGAGGTGTGATATGTCTGAGATATGAGATGTTTACCTGATGTTTGAGATGTTTCTCCAGCCTCTCCAGTTCCGAGATTCTCTGACGGAACACGTCCTCCGGACTCTCCAGACCTCGCTCGGACCCGACATTCCGGGACGATTCCAGACGGACCTCTAGTTCTCTGTTCATGGCTTCCAGTTCTGTGACCTTTCTCAGAAGCTCGGCTGGACTATCTCGGACCTCACCGCCATTATTGTTGTTAGCTAGCTGCTCCTGAAGGTCTTGGACCTGGTGTTTGAGGGATTTTTCACTCAGTAGTAAGGCCTCTATCTTCTTACTGGCTTCTTCATTTCCACTGCTAATAAAAAAAGCAAGGTAAATGTAATAGCTGTATTAATTCCATTTGTAAGACAAGCTAAAGAACATTAAATCTGCATTATAATCATGATAATATGCAGATCACAAATATATAACCATAATATAAGCCACACAGTTTCCATCAAGGAGCTCATCCATTTATCCCAGCCTGCCTTACCAAAAAGTCTTCTAAATGTTCGAGGAGGAATTTAAAGTATGTATGAGACCGTCAAAACAATAGCTAACATAATCCACACACTGTGTATACAAAATTACTTGCATGTTGTAATAGGATTAACCATTAAACAACGAAATGGACCCGGCTTTACTTATAATCCAATGTAACTGCAGACTGTACGATCTCAATGTCCACAGATCAAATGTTAATTCAGAGTCCTAATTAATTATACCCAATAAACAAGTCATATCATTAATTATTCCAATTTTATATCCCTATCAAATCCAGAGGAAATTGTAAGATGCATCATTTCATAGACTGTTTACTTGTTTCCATAGAAATTGCATTCCTTTTTTATGAATAATTAATGATTTAGGGTGGCTAAAATAGCTCTCTCCATTTGTTTTGATACAGGTACACATACTAGAGCGGAAGAATAAGGTATAAAGCCAGAAATGGTCAGGTTGAACTAATACAGATCAATAAGAAGCAATCACTTAATAGAAGTGATGTAATAATGACTGCTTGTTTACGGAAGGTCTTAAGTCTGGGGTAAAAATTTAGCAGGTAACCTGGGGAGAGTCTCAAAAGTGTTAACATTTGTCATACCAGGTATCACATGGATTTAAAGCTTGTCATTTTTATGTTACATTTATTTAAAGCATCTTTTAAGTCCTAATACTTTTTTGGAAGGGGGGGGGTTAAGGAAAATGCATTTAATATGTACATCAATCTATGTTTATTTCTCACAGATGACTATGTACACTACATGCATGTAAAATGCAATAAGAAATTGCAGATTTATGCTATAAAGTGTATATTCATTATTCAAGGGTCAAAGTGTGTGCATTTTTCAAACAGCTCCCAAAGCAATTCAAATCAAATCATCAGAGAGGGGAATTTAATTGCCTTTAACATGTAAATCACTTTCTTTACAAATATTTTTTTTTAATGTTTTAAATTTTAATTTTCAGATCATTGTTGATTTAATATTCCTTTTTCCGATGAAAAACCAGCTCTTACAGATAAAAGATGTCAGATCAATAAAATTGACAGAAAGATGTGTGCTGTATGTATAATAAATAAGGTCAAGCATCATATTCCAAATTTTGATAAAAAATAAAACACACAGAAGAGCAATCGACTAATGTCAGAAGTCAGCAGGAGGAAATAACTCACCTGGCTTAAATATTGATTATATCTCCGAGATTGATTACAAATCTATAATATAATTAACACCTGAATCTACAGGTGTTCACGGGCCATTGACCTATATTTCTGCCAGCACGAACTTCTCTTGCACAGGTCCGATCTTGTCATTATTAAATATTCCCATCTCTCATAACAAATTCCTTAGAATGTTTGTCTATACATTGAATGTAAACATAAGGTTACAAGAAAAGTCCACAAGAAACATGTCCGTGGCATTAAAAGTCAATAACAGCCCCATTATAGATATTGCAGAAGATTTAGGAGGGGGGATATTTAAATTTTGCCGTTTGACCATTGTGTGATCAGCTAGATCAATATTTTGTATAGATACTTTCACTTCTGGGTTTAATTATTGGACTAAAAAAAGACTTTAAAAATGTCTGAAGTTTTAACAAGGGGACATGTCAAAAGTCCCCTGACTTTTAATTATTAAATGGCAAATCTTCATCTTGCTATGGGAGAATATTTTGCAGTGTGTGGCAAACATTAATTCTATACAAATATTATCAAACATTATAGAAAGAAGTCATAAATAATTTACCTATATGCTCAACAGGATATTTTTATCCCATTAACAGCTATAATAATACCTATTTTACTGTAGGTATACGTGTACTTCTTAATGGAAGAGAAATGTCCTGTTGACCATATAGCTATATCTATTGTGTTGGTTCTACCATTTTATTGTTGATTTGTCAGATCTGAGTTTCCTAGCTGTAATATCTTACCCGAATTTGTCCTTGGTTTTGGTGAGACAGTCGACACTGTGGACCAGATTTTCCAGCACCTTCCCTAGTTCTGCGTTCAGAACCACCTGTAAAAGTTAAAATTATGTCTTTTATACTGGATTTCAAAAACTTAATTCTACATTTAACAATCATAAAAAATTTTGGCATTATTATTTTCAATACATTTTACAACTAGAAACACTTCTGAGCTCACCATTTAGGCAACAAAGGGACATAGCTTCATCAATAGATAAACGAAGACTCTTTTAAAATGACCAATAACACAAGCATTCAAATCTAGCACTTAAATTATAATGGCTTAAGACACTGCAAAAATTTGCATTGGGAAAAATACTGTACATATACCCTGCCCTACAATAACTTACTGGTAGATCTGACGGAAGCTGATATGTACGAGGGACCTCATCTCCCACTTCCTGTATTTCGTCATGGAAACGGATTTGGACGTCCAGTACGATGTCCTGCAGAATTCTCCGGAATTCCTCTAATTCGTCTTCTAACTCCTTCACCCGACCCCCCAGAGCTTTCTCTCTCACCCTCAACGTCTGCTCGTCACACTGATTCTGTAACGTCACCATTTTCTTGTTGAATTCTTCTGTTTTATTTAATCCAAAGAAACTGTCTTCCGACAAAACCGATGAAGAAAAATTACTGACCATTCCCTGACACTTAGAACACAGAGTTTTTAATGATTTTTCCCTTGCTTCAAATTCTTTTTTTAATGTAGCCAGATTTTCCACAAGAATGGATTCTTTTTTCAGTTGTTCACTTAATTTTTGATTTAACTTAAAACACTTGGCACATTTCTTTTCGTCGGATAAATCTATGTTTGAGATATCACTAATGAGTTCGGTTTTGGCACTAGGGTTAAGATCTGATTTTATGGGAGTTGATTGAGCACTGATGGGTGTGGCCATTTGATTTAATTTTAATTGATTCTCCTTGTCCTGAACAAAAGTATCCTCACTTTCTGAATCACAATTCACATCCGTTTTCATTTTCACCACTTTAATTAATGCGTTATTTTCCTCTGTTAATTCCGATATTTTCCTTGAATGTTCCTCTTCGTTGAGTTTAAGATGAGACAGTGAGTTCTCTAGATCAGAGACAGTAACTAATTGACTAGACAGAGTTTCATTCAGTTCCGAGATTTTAGATTCATATTCCTCCTCCATTGTCCTGATTTTAAGATTCGCCTGAGAAAGTTCACTCTTTAGTTTCTCAGAATAAGATTTTTCTTGGTCTAATTTCCCTGATAAACTCTTCTCACATTCCCGTAGTTTCTGAACACATTGTTTTTCCTCTGTTAGACTATCCTCCATACTCTTCAGTGATGTTTCCATCTCTGTCGTTTTAGTTTCGGACACTTCCATTTCTGTCCTATGAACACTGAGCTCATTCTGTAAACTCTGAATAGTTTCCTCTGCTACACTCAATTGTTCCTTATAATCCTCGTTTTCACCCTTCAACATTTCTAGATTAACTTTCAGTAGCTCCACTGTCTCTCTGAGGTCTGCCACCTCTTTCATTATATCCGGAACTTCCGTAAATGTCACAGAGTTTCGGAGTTTCTGATTTTCTTTCATGAGGAAATCTTCACGGTCCTCTAATTCCATCACCCTTTCCATTAACTTCTCCTCTGAGTTTTCCAAGAGTTTCACTTTTTCGTTGAGTTTTTTATTCTGTACATCTGCACCTTGGAGTGTGACGAGCTGCTCTGAGAAATTCTGGTTCTCCGATTCTAGGTCTTGTAAACGTTCAAACATCCCAGTCAGTTTCCTTCCTTTCGGAGCATTCAGATCGTCCGTGTCTGTGCTTTTTTCCTCACAAGAAGAATCTGATTTCACATTCACAGAAGAGCTCACTGGTTTACTGTGTAGTTCCGTTTCCAAACTTTCTAACTCAGTAACGCGATCCATCAGCTTACAGTTGGCTTCCTCCAACAGACTGGACTTAGTTTCCACAGCTTTCATCTTTTCCTCACACTCCTGTTCGTAAGAGTCTAACTCGATCACTCTCTCATTGAGGTCGTTATTCTCCACACGTATCTGTTCCAGCTCCTCGGTAACACTGTCCAGATTTTCCTGCAGTTCCTGGTTTTCTTTCTGCAGTGTACTCACTTCCTCTGACAATCTCTCTCCCTGCTGTTCTAATTCCTCCCTCACTCCCTCTGACTCCTCTAGCTGCTGTTCCAGGGATTTTACATCCCCCTCGTACTTGTTGACTTTCTCCATCAGTTCGTCTTCGTGTTTCTCGATCTCCATGATTCTGGATGTTAGGTCCTCCTCCTGCTGTATGTACTGGGCAATCTCTCTCTCCATCAACTCCACTTTCTTCTCTAACTGTTCCACTTTCCACTCATGTTCCTCTTCCAGCTCCTTCAGCCGCTTTTTGAGATCTCCTTCATGTTCTTCCATAGAGTCCATCCTGTCCAAGAGATCTTCCCGTGATCGATGCATTTCCCGGATCTTCCCTTCGTAATGTTTTATCCTATCACTAGAGGATGACTGCTCATACATGGACACTCTGTTCCTCAGTTCCCTCTCGGTGTGCTCCATTTCAGCTAGAGTTTCACTCAGTTTGATTTCGTTTTCTCTCAGTGTGGCTATTTTATCCTGGAGTTTCTCAATCTGACTGTTCTTTTTCTCCTCTGTCTCTGTGAGTTCCTCCTGTAATGTTTTCACTTTTTCCGTCAGTGATACAACAGAATTTCCCTCCATTGATTTCTCACTCTCTGACAGTTCTGTAGCCAGTGATGGAGCATTCGGAGGATCCGATTTCTCTCTCTGCTCGCGAAGCCTCTTTCTCAGATCTAAATTTAATAATTCCAGATTATTTACTTTTTCCTCGAAGCTCTGGATTCTTTCAGCATCGTTCTCAGCGACTTTCATCCAGTTTATTTTTAGAATTTCTTCGTTTTCCTCCAGTTCAGCAACCTTTGCGGTGAGATCTTTGTTTTCTATCTGGAGATCTTTGATCTGGTCCTTCAGCGTCTTGACCAGCAGGATGTCCGTCTCGAGCTCCTCCTTCAGCTGAAGTCTCTGCTCCAGTAGCTGGTTCTGCATCTCTAGATCTGAGATCTTCTGAGACGCTATCTCCTCAGCTTTCTCCAGAAACTGCACCTGCAAAAGTACAATGTTCAATTATCTCACTTGTTAAAAGAGTTGCACAGTAACAGAATATCATAGCATTTTTTCATTTTCATTTTTCACAGCTGCAGTTTGAAAATGAAAATGATTGATGAACAGAAATAAATGGATCACAAAAAAAACAACAAAAAAAAAAAAAAACAATTACATCTTAGAATCAAGGTTTGTCACTCCTGACATGGGTTATATTAAAGATTTTTTAGAAGTTATATTTCAGATCTTCTTGGAGACTTCAAGCTTTCTGCAAGCATGTTCATTTCTATGTCTAATTTTTCTATCACTCAATATTGCATGCATTAGAAATTATTCACTATAGCTAACATAGCATCAAGAAATTTTTGAATTGTATAATTTTTAAATTCCATAAATACACTCATCAATACTAAAAACAACAAAGAAGTTATTATAAATAAGAAATCATTTACAAATATACATGTATAGAGAGAAGATGAATGCCAGAGAAGATGGATAGAAAAATTGCCATACTTACATGATTTAAGTTTGTTAGTATTACACCACAAATATCACAAAGTTATCAACATTCCACAAGGAAACCATACCACATGGGGGCATAAAAACCAATTTAGTGGAATGAACAATGCCGAAAGTTAAATATCCCCCCGAATGTGACCAAGATTATCTTATATGAACTAAGTCTTGCGTCAATAGTCAAAAATGTGCGTATAATAATAGTAACCTATTAAGTCAGCAAAGAGTTTTACTTTGTGTGGGATTTGGCAAATAATCAGATTTAAGTAATATTAAATACGTGTCTCTTGTCTGAAATAAGTCAAGGCGAGAAATACATATTCTAAGCTGATTTATTTTAGAAGGAAAAGTCAAATGCCCCCTGTCTGTTTTTTTGTTGGGTACAAAGAGGTACTTTTTATAAGTATATTGTGTATTAGTGGGTTTAATCGTCAATATACACAAAGTACTGACTCCGTATTGAGTTAAATAACCCCCAGACATTTCCTATAACTTTGTGTGAAACGTAAGACGACCTTTCCTAAGACACAATGATGTAGATTAAAGGCAAAATATTAAGTCAATATTATCTCGTATTATCTAAACATGCTTAAAAGTCTCTATCTGCATGATCTAGATTACACTTAAAATCACACTAATCATTAAATTTGTATTCTTTAAAAACATTTTACATATGAATTCATTTTTTTTTTACTAAAGGGTATTTTAAAAATTACCTCTCCTACTCTCCCTATCCACCTTCCCCCCTTTCAGAAAGATTACATACTGACAGAGTTAGTAATTTTGAAGTGATTAAGTTTAGAATAGGATATTACAACATGCTTTATCAATATTGAAAACAAAATAATTCCTATAAGTTATTTGAAAACGACTCTCAAGTAAGTTGTTTGTTACTGTTAGTTAGTAAAGAGTGCAAAAGTAGGCAAGTAATGGTTCAAGCAAGAAGGATCACAGCAATTTGCAATATGTAGCAAACGAGAAAAGTTGTAAAGTTTGGCAGCAGTTTTGAGAAAAAAAATTTCATTCTGAGATTCATGGCATTATGCTGTTAATCTGCACAACTACATCTCAGAGCCTTAATCAGTCAATGTCAAACAGGCATTAATCAAGGACAGTCAGAAGTAATCACTACAGTGCATTAGACTAATGATAGAATCAGCCAGGCTTCATCACGGCAATACAAGAGACACTCAATCATTCCCATGATGCACCACAGTGATACCTTTTCTGCGAGATTGATCTCGCTGACATCTTTATCCAGGATTATTTCCTTAAGCTCGCGGATCTTCTGTTGACAGCCACTCAGGGATTTCTTACATTCAGACTCTGATTTCCTACATATCTCTAGATTTTCTCTAACACTGTTCTCACTGCTCTCTAGATCATTAATGGTGTACTCTGCGAGTTTGAGTTTCTCTTTCAGCTGTTTCTCTGCAGACTCAGCCTGGTACACCCTGTCTTGAAGTGCAATACACACTTGTCTCATTTCCTCTAATCTCGACTCGAACGAGTCAGTGTTTTCATCCAATATTTCCTCCTTGATGCTCAAACTCTCTTCGAGCTGAGATCTTAAATTCAATACCTCTTCTTGAGATTTCTTCAGATCATCCCTCAGAGCTACAATCTCTGCAGTACAGACTGTAATATCATGAGCTGGACTCATGTGAGCATCCTGGCTCATCTCTAGACTTTCGTATGAGTCTTCTGTAATCTCAGAGTCTGACTTATCATCAAGACCTGTATTTTCCACACTGACTTCTTCATTTAGATGGTTTCTAATCTCAAAGACATGAGTGCGCTCATTGGTGTTCCCAACATTGGATTGGTCATTTTGAGTCTGTGTGATTTCTGTTGTGTGAGTTTGCTCACTGTTGTTTCCGACACCGGATTGGTCATTGTGAGATTCTATGTTGTCTGAATGTTCAGATTGAGTAGTGAGTGCGTGTTGGTGAGAGTGCGAGTTTGGAGTGTGCGAGTCCTGGAAATATTGAGCATAAAATCTACCAAGTGATATTACTACAACCCACCACCAGGCTTGTTAATTACTTGACAAAAAATAAGGCACCAATATTACCCAAAAGATTCTACAGAAATAAAAAAAATTAAGCAAAGAAAAATCCTCTAAACGATCAAATTCAGATACAGAACTTAGAGAAATTTAAATAGACACTATGATTCGGAATAAATTTTCTAAAAAAGCTTAAAGTTTATCTAATCATAAACCATAGCCTGTAAAACTAGTCATCATTTTACTAGAATAAGACCTAGTTCCCTGCCCCTTCCTTACCTTTAAGGTCATGACCTCCTGGGCCTCTCTCTCCTCCAATGAGGGTGAGACGCTGACTGGGCGTTCCCTCAGGGTGGCATTCTCCTGCTGCAGACGAATGACCTTGGACTGAAGGTCCTGAACCGAGGACTCCAGGGATTCCACATACTGAAAGGTCAAGGACAAAATCATGTCAAGGTCACAGACTTTAAATAGATAAAAATAATATAAAAACAAACTAAGAACAAAATGTGTTTATCAGTATATACTGCACAAATTATTTCTTAATGAAAGAACAAAAGTAAAATCTTTAAATATGTGAAACAAGAGGCCCATGGGCCATATCTACACTACCTCAGGATGCTTACACAAAAGTTTTAGCTTATTTGGCCCAGTGGTTTTTGAGAAGATTTTAAAAGATTTTTCGTATATATTTCTATGTAAAACTTTGATTCCCCACTGTGGCCCCGTCCAACCCCCGGGGGTCATGATTTGAACAATTTAGAATCTACACTACCTCAGGATGCTTCCATATAAGTTTAAGCTTTTCTGGCCCAGTGGTTCTTGAGAAGAAGATTTTCAAAGATTTTTCCTATATATTTCTATGTAAAACTTTGATTCCCCATTGTGGCCCCGCCCTACCCCCTGGGTCATGATTTTAACAATTTAGAATCTACACTACCCCAGGATGCTTCCACATAAGTTTCAGCTTTTTTGGCCCAGTGATTCTTGAGAAGAAGTTTTTTTAATGATCCCATCCTATTTTTGTCTTTTCTTGATTATCTCCCCTTGTGAGAGAACTTGGCCCTTCATTTTAACAATTTAAATTCCCCTTCACCCAAGGATGCTTTGTACCAAGTTTGGTCAAAATTTGCCCAGTAGTTCTTGAGAAGAAGTTGAAAATGTGAAAAGTTTACAGACGGACAGACAGACAGCTAGATGGATGGACGGACGACGGACAAAATGTGATCAGAAAAGCTCACTTGAGCCTTCGGCTCAGGTGAGCTAAAAATAAACATTGTCCATTAACATAATTTGATGAATAACTTAATTAGAAACAAAATGTGACAAGTTTCTCACTAGCTTTGATTATAACATTCTGATAGAATTGTATATAAACAGTTTATATGAGGGGGGATAACTCACAGCATCGAATTCACTGCTGGATACAGTCTTTCGGGAGGCATGTTCTCCTCCATTCATTTCAGCAGGATCTTCAGGGATCGTCTCAAGAGCTCCTACATTCTGAAGGTAACAAAACAGTTCTATTACATGACCACCTAGTACATTTTTAGAAGAGACTCAATTAAAACAAACCAAGAGTGCACCTTATGAAAACTCTTTGATGGCTCTTACAACTTGTTCATAATAGACCTTTTTTCCTAGGTGATCTCAATTACAAATTTACTTAAGTGAGAGCTCGTTTGACTTACATTGAGAAGTAATACATTTAATAAAACTTAACTACTAACTCCTACCCCTGTCTTCCCCACATGTATCCAAAATACAAACTACAATCATATTTCAATTTCCCTAATGTAGTCTATAAACACAATAAAATCCAATGGTCAACTCAAACTGGATATCTTTTCTCACTATGCTAATCAATTCAAACTTTATAATAAATGGTAGCCTTAGATGTAAATGGGAAATGTTTCCATTAGGAAAAAGAATCACTTTATTTCCACTAGTATCAGTGTTATGCTCTAGTAAACTTCCAATGAACATGATGAATTCAGACAAGGTCATGGATTTACAAACAATTAAAAAAATACATCTCCTAGGGGGGATATGAAAAAGGCATTGGGTTATTAAAGGCATATGAAGCATATATATTATGTTCAAGGGAATAAATGTTTATGGGCATATCAGATGAGTTAAGATGCATTCCGACATTTTTTTCATGTCCACTGCAATTTACCAAACTCCCCTATAAATTAATCTGATAGAGTAATGTGATTTCACTTCCGCCATTAAAAGGAAATTGCCATTCAATTAATCCTGTCCACACTGTAATAATTTAAGAAAATTTTCAAATCACCACTTTAGCTCCATAATATTTTCTCATGACTGTCTGCAAACTGTCACATGAATAACGTAAACACTATTTGATACTGATGTCCACAGTCCAGCCAAACTTTGGTGTCACCTAGCTCACAAACATTTGCCGAAAACCTCATATAAAAACTGAAACAAAAACTTTCTTCCTTTTTTCGATCAGCTCGTCATTTCATAAACTTCAACAGAATTGAATGTGATACAGCCACACTCTCTCTCAAACATCACCAAACTTTGGGAGGACTGATTTTGTTTAGCTGTCTACAGATTTACTTAAGGAGGGGTAACAGTTTGTTGGGTAAATGCTTGTGTTTCTCCGTTTTCTGTGTCGTATACACACTTTATATTTGCCTGGTACACCTGTAATTAGTCTCTACTGATTAGATACCTTCTCTATTTTGTCCGTCATGTCATTGTTGACATTTATATTTTTTCCAATTATTCATTTAAAAATGTCTCAGAAATTAAAGAGAAAGAAATATGTAAATAATAGTAAATCTATGTATAAAGTAAACAATTTGGATCGTTTTCTGAGTCATGAGACTCACAAGGCTGTAGTGCTTACTGCATATACTGGCCTATAAGTCAGTTTTATTTTTTAAGTCGGACCAGGAGCTTTGGACCAAAGTTTGACTCCAAAAAAAAAAAGACCTATTAGATGAGTATATAGAATAATGTATACAGTGGACCTTCAGATATCCGGACGCCAGATATCCGGATGCTTCAGTATCCGGACGATTTTTCATCAGAACGAAATTTTCAAATGTTATTTTGTCTTGTTTAACTGGTGATTCAGATATCCGTATACTTCATATATCCGGACAAATTGACTGGGAACCAAAGCGTCCGGATAAATGAGGCTCCACTGTACTCATGCAGTTTCTGTGGTGAAGTCAGTCTTCAATGTCCCCTGAATGAGATACTAGTAAATCCCAGTGTAAGCCTATTACCCATATAAGAGGGTAGTCCACGACAATTAATAGATATAGATAATGTGCCGTAGTTGTCACTCAATTATATTAACACACAACTTCGAAAGTCCACTGTGAGTGGGACTTGAACAAGTGACCCTTGGCCACTGAGACATACTTTTTAATTCTATATTAAAGTTAAAAGTTTTGTCTTATTGTTCATTTATCTCTAACCCTATGACCAATTTTTTTCTAACACTTAGCGGTAAGTTCCAGGCACATCAATGTAAAAGTATCCTTCATGAAACACATGCAGTGTTTAAATTAAATCAGACAATAGGAAAAGAATAAAAAATATATTATTAATATTACAATTATGCTCATTTCAAAAATATATTTATCAATAACTTACAGATTTGCCTAAATTTTAGTCCAGTTCAGAGCACTTGCATAATGTCAATTCTCATGCAGTATGTGTCATACCCATATAGCAGTGTAGAATTATCTTATTGACTTCATTTAATATCAGACTGACTTTATAATTGTGTATATAAAATCTAGTTCCTAGGAACCTAGGAAGATAAGATACATTATGTGTACACAGTGGTTCTCAGACAATATCAACAGTGTTTGTGTCCAATCTGATGTTACATCAAAAGATGTGTCAGGTGATTTATGACACATTAAGATTGGAGAAATTATGTCAATTAAGGGATGTCACTCTTATTTCTGTAATGAAGTCACGTTTTCAAAATTAACCTCACACTCAAACATTTCAATCATATTTAAACTACACAACATACCTGCAGACATGAAATATTATCAAAATTAAGACCACATTAAATTTAACAAAATCAAACTAAAACACCAATCAGCTCAAAAAGCAAAATTCCTCAAATTAACAAAGCTTTCTGTGTATTAACCTATAAATCTATCAGTAATAATATTGAATTTAATCTGTAAATGGAAATAAACAATAACACATACCTGTGTCTAAATTTCAAAGCATTTATCCCACAACTTTACACCTTAAGATACTGAATCACAATAAAGGTACAAATATCAGGAAACGATCTGTGAAGTTACGACCATGCCTCCCAGCTAATGGCACCTCAGGGATATAAGGCCTTAATAACATGATCAGAAATATTTTGATTTTTTTTGTTTGGAGAAAAAGACTTATCTATATAGGTAATCATTAACTGTGGGCACATTACACAATGGTACTATTTGATTCACGCCGTTACAAGATCAATCTTTGAGTGACAGGTCGTTAATCGTCCAAAGTCAAACGAGATCTCTCGGGTGTGAGCAAAATCGACACAAAATATTTTTTTTTTAGAAATCTGTTACACATTTAGACTTACTCACGGTTTACTGAGGTAAAAAATATCCGCAAATCACCAAACAATGATTCATTCTCAAGTTATAAGCGAATTCCATTTTCCGGCACAGCTGACAGATTTTTATGTCTATATAATTTCTTAATGTCAAATACACAACCACTAAAACTTATAGAATAATACACAGGCAATTGCACATTGTATATTCATAAGGATTCCTGAACTACTGAAGTGTTACCGGAGCAATTGTGTGCGTAAAAAAGACGATTAATTTATACAATATCTTTTATCAAATTAAACAGAAGCAATATAAATACACAGCTAGTGTGGAGAGCAGATAATGGGGTATTTATCTAACAGCTTTTTGGTTTCCTTTAACAAAGGGAATTGGATATATAATTAAAAAGAGCAATTTAAATTATTTTAAAGGCACACTCCATTCTGGTTGTTTTAGAGATATACTGTTATGTTTTCTTGGTTGAAATATTGATTTTTACATGTGAAAAAATATCATCAAGGGTTATATCAACGAATATTGCCTCCAAAAATTATAGATGGGTGGGGTGGAGGGGGTTGGGGGTTGGGTTATGAAGGCAGCACTAACTTAGTTGTATGCTTATGGTTTATAAAAGAACAGTGGAAGAAGAGAACAGCAAGGAATACATGTATATATTCATAGAAAATTTTAGTTTTACTAAATTAAAGTCAAAAACCTAGATTTAATTGAAGCAACTATAAGCTAAGTTGATGTTCTCTCTCTCTCATGTCAAAACATAACTGCAGATAATTAGGTAAATGTGATGTGACTCTAAGTTCCAAGTTTAAGTCAAAACATACAGGTGTATATGACATGGATGTCTTTCTCTCTCTCCTTTCCAAGTATAACACATCTATGTATGACATGACTCAAACTGATTGTCATATGCTTTATGATTTCCTTAATATTTCTCCAATATCATACATCAAGACATGTCTTTTGTGTATGTATTGGATCTGTGGTGAGAATCAATAGAAGCTGATGTTTACATGAGATCAATATATCAGTGTTACTGTTTGTTGTGATGGAGGGGAAACAGTGGTCAGATTCAGTTTATCTACTGTTTATCTATACTGAACCACACACAACATATGGTTCACCTTAAAACATAATCAAAAACCTCCAAACTTTTTCCTGTACAATATGACTCCATGGGCATGACTCACATAAATGTACAAATCACAACTCTTAGCACCCCCCACCCACCTCCTCCCCTAACACACATCTTATACACAGACAGAAAACAGAGCATGAGATATTGTGTAAGAATTCCTTCTGAGGTCACACAGATCTTAGCTGTCACCATTACATAACAACAGCATGTCTACTAGCTTAGAAAGTCTCTACATACACGATACACACATGTTCAGTTAGCTTGAAGACAAAAGTTTACACACAGGGTCTTTCCCATTATACTTGGAGTATGTTAAGTTGATCAAGTGCACTAGACTGTTTATAAACATTACAAAATAAGATAGAAAGCTTTTAAATAACCCAGCTATCAATTCAAACACACACCTTGACCTCCCCCACTCAGGTGAAAACAGTTACCTGTATCTACCTGTATCAGTTAAAATCCCCATTCATAAATAAAATCCAGGTAATTCTACACACATGTATACAGTATCCTGAGATTACTCCAATCTCTCTATCCTTTATTCATCCCTTAGTTGTTCTGTCACTCTCCTGATACACACAGAACAGCTGTCTACACACAGACTGATCTCTACAGTTTATCTTCAGTGTGCTAAGGGGCCTCACAATGCCTCGGGGAGAAATGTCTGTGGTAATCACCCAGTTATAACCAAATAATCTAACACATCAGGGCTCCATGCATGTCTGTCTGACTAACATAATGCCACAATCAAACAATTATTCTCAGGTGTATGCAGGTCTTAGTTGTTCGATGATTCTCATATACTATGTATACAAAGGACCTCTGTCCATTATTATGGCATTCTCTTTCTTTACCGTTTCCTTTTGTGAAATTAAATCGTCACTTCTCCTGAGCAGATGTTGGAGTGGTAAAGCTGATGAACAAGTCTGAATAATTGATTATGATGCTGGTCATTTTCTCCAGAGTTTATCATTAACTCACTATGACAATTCTTTATAACCATGCTGACTATCAACAAAGATGTAGCTATTTTATCTATATTTTATGCAATGCATGTGTCTGTGCTCAGCATATAAATGGCAGGATCTGTTCTTTGTTCAGAGGGAAGTCAATTAAAACCAACTTTTGGAATGTCAGAGGAATTCCTCTGAGTGCTAGCCAGTATAATTACATTACAACTGTAACCCAGCCTTATATTGATTTCTTGACACATATCTTGATGAGTGGCTCAGTAAAAAAAATGGATTGTTACAAAAGAAGAATCATAACTCAAACTTGGCCGGTATAGCAATTAATAATTACAATTCATCTTAGAAAAAAAATGTTATAAATTTTATTAACTAGATAATATTCCTCATAATTTTTTATTTGACCTACTTCTGAAAAACTTTAACCTTGGTCATTACTTTTGAATGGTTAGGGCTACAGTGTATAGCTTTCATATTTCATAAGTGTATTCCTTGCTACAAGACCTTTGTTTGGGTACCAACATTTTTATTTCTTGACCTTGAAGTTTTGATGAGCATTTGAGAAACCTTAACCTTTGCCATGAGCTGCCATGATGTATCATGCTGCATCAAAGTTTCATAAACACATCTTGTTTTTGCAAGTTATAAATGCATATCATATCCAGCTTCTAGGAGCATAATATTCCATGAAAAAATAGTTTTTTTTTTTAATTCTAAAGGTCAATAGCTCTCAGTCTTTAAGTTATGCTCAAAGTGCCATCTCTTCACTGAATAGTGGTCCCAATAGTGTCCTTTCTCTGCTCTGTTTCTACTGGGTGATCTAGTCATTCCTCTGTCATTACCAAAATGACAAGATGACAAGCTTGGCTGGTTTCAGCGGACTAAGTGGGTACACCAAGTCTCCTCTATCAGTCTACAGATCCCCAGGTTTGAGGTGTATGTAGTACACATTATATAAGGAATGATGGGTACTTGTACCAAGTCAGCAACCTTAATTCAATTTCCCAGATAGTCCATTAAATTTCCAACTTTACTACATACTACAGGTACTTATGTATCTAGTTGTCAATTAACTGATGAGAGAAGCAGAAAGCAATTCTATAGATCTATATCAGCATCTTAAAAATGTTGTACTCAGACTGTGCTTGGTGAATATTTTACCATTTCAAACTTTGCAGTTCTAAGACAAGGGCAACAACTCTTATCCACTTATTACTCATTACCTGTGTCTCTTGAGTAAATGTTGCTAAAAATCCCTCCAAAAAGACCAAACCCTATGGTAAAATGTAACATACTTCCAACAAGTATCTATTAACTCCTCAGACTATTATGTATGGTACTTACATCAGTCTAATATCCTAGCTGTGATCTGGACTATCTGGATTAACACAAAATATATATCTATTACTATATTATTTACATCTTTCTTGTACTCCATGACCTGGAATTCCTGGATAGAGACATCAATACTTACATCAATCTAATATCCCCGCTTTAATCTGGGCTATCTGGATTATATCTGGATTAACACACCTATCCGGTACTTACATCCGTCTCATACTCCATGACCTGGAATTCCAGCGTCTCCACGAGATCCCTGGATTCATCCAACTTCTCCCTCAGATCACTGCAATCCAAATCCAGCTGCTTCACCTACATCAAACATAAAGTCATCCGCAATTAATCTGATGCGAGTCCCTCTCTAGACAAGATCTGTTACTTCTGATGTTTAATTTATAGAATTTCATCTTACCTTTTCTGTCAACTTGATATTCTTCTCCTGAATTTCACTGTTTTTGGTTTCAACAGCCATCAGTCTCTACAATAGTACACAGAGATGTTAACTTACATGCAAATCAGTAGAGAGAGGTGTATTAATTTATTTACATGTAGATCAGTGTGGTATAGTCTATCAATATTTCCCTCTCCTCTTTTTGGAATTTCATAAAATAGAGTCCATGATGTCCTACAGATTTCATGATAAGTTATGGAAATTTTCAAGGTGCAGGAGGCATTCAAGTAAATAAATGGCAGGGGTTTTCCTACCATTTTTTGACCGGGTCCGGGGTCCGCAGAATTGGGAAAATTGACGCGAAATATGGTCAAATTGGGAAAATTTTAAAAAGAAAAATTTTCTTATTTCCCCAAATAAATGAAATTGAAGGGGCCAAAAGCTCCTGTCTATGTACAACAGAATAAACAACACTGTAGATAGATATACAGAGTAATTGATAAATTATTGGATAATAAAAAACTTGTTGTCTTATATGCCTGTAATTCTATGACTCACTGGTGTAAAAAAAAAAATTAGTTCACATAATATATTTCAATTGGGTAATGAAAACTTCAAAAGAAAAATATTTATATTTATTCATGACTGCATGATGTGAAGAAAAGTTTCAGAGGAAATAATATTTTTTAATTGGATAATGGAAAATTTCTGAAAAAAATATTATTCTAATATTATTATACACCAATGATCATTGTGAGCATATTTTTTAATGAATAATAAAAAATTACAGGGAGAAAAAAAATTGACAAATTTTTAATTTTATTCACTTTACATTCATGTCTGGAGTAAAAAACAAAAAAAAATTGTGGAAATAATATGTTGGGAATAAGTTGTTTTCCAGTGATTTTATTATGTATAGTAACAAATATTAATGAAACTATTTCTCAGAATAGGCCCATTTTAATGAGAAAGTTAAAAAAAGTCGAATGACAGATTTTGTGCGTTTAGGCAAATTAGTCTAACCCTTGCTATTTTTAGATGATACAAGGACTGCACATTGATTGACAACTTTTGTAATAACTGCAATCCTTTTTTATTTTCTCTATAGAATTCAGGTAACTTTAATGACTCAAAAGTGATTAAATAACTAATCACTAAACATAGTTGGTGATTTACCAGATGTGTTGCATCACTTATTTTTATAGCTCGATGATACGATCAATTTTGATCATGTCATGATTTACAGACGTCCTGCAAGGAAGCAATTTAAACAAATATTTTATTTCTTTCTGAACTCTCAATTTTTTTTCATGGATACATAATTGGGAAAAAAAGATTCACAATTGGGAAATTATGGCTGATTTTATGACTGGGAATGGGTCCGGTAAACGGACCCAAAAATAAGCTAGGAAAACCCCTGAATGGCCTTTGATTTCAGCTAATCATGCAGTCAGTAATATTAAAATCATCTTATCAAGCAGTCATTAAATCTGAAATAAACCAATCATGAAGACATAAATGGGCAACAGCCAATCATGCAGTCAGTTACTAACATCTGACATCAACCAATCACACAGTGAGTTTTACACTTACATTTGATTTCATCCAATCATGCGGTCAGTTACACACCTTTGTTTGAGTTTCATGCAGTCATATCGATTCAAATGATTGTCCATGCAAATATCTAAAATAAATATCAAGCAAATAAAATTCGCTGTAAATTTTTTCTGTAGTACTGCATCAAAAATTGCTGATCAAAAATTGTACACATTAGCATCAGCTGTTTAATAATGTGCAACCAGAAGATGAAGCAATTTTTGCAACTGTAGAAAATTCATAAGCTTGAAAAAATTACAAAATTAGTTAAAGTGTTAATCTTATTGAGAAAAACAGGTCAAAATTGTTATGACAAATCAGCACTTATAAATCTACAGTAATACACAATTATTACAAAGTGTCAGGGATGGTCAATTTGGGGCAAGGGTAATTTAAAATATATTTTTAAGTCACAGTGAATGTAAATCACTTTTTCTTTAAGCATCAATTTATTATAAGTTTGTTTGATATACATGTAATTTACTGTATTTATATAACTTGGATAACATTATATATCAGGAACTGACCATTTCTGTATTTTAAGGTTATAAATACCAATTCTTGTCTTATCTATGGACTATGTAAGATAGCAATGGTTTATTTCTGAGGTTTTGTACAGAGGAGAATAATTACCTTGCTTGTGTCTGCCAATTCTTTTGTCAGTTTCTCTATCTGGCATTGTGACTGAAAAAGGTTTGTTTCCAAGTCCACCCTCAGCTGTCAATTTCAAAGCAGAGATATTTAAAAGATGTTCAGATTAATTATTGATTAAACACTTATCAAATTTTCTCAATCAAATTAGAAGCAGATGTATAAAAAAGATGTTCATAATGTTGATGACAACACAACTTTCTCATTGAAATCAGAATTTTGATCTAAGACAGAATCTTTATCTGGGCTAATGAAAGGACATAAAGTGTCTGATGACTAGATAATCAAAGTGAATTAACTTCTCATATTTCAGCACATATAAAATGGATTCCCAAGACTACATTTAAGGACCCTCTCTACACAAGTTAAAAATTTTTTGGGACATTGAGAAAAATATATCATTATAAAGGCATTAAAATTGAGCTTATTTATCCAATTTTCACTGTATGGTGCGTGGCATTTACTCCCAGGAAAAATGTTCAAAGACAACACAGTATCAGTGAATTCAGAAAAGAAATCACTATTAATTACTTCAGTAGAGAAAATACATGTTAATAACATGTTTAGTTAATTTATCTTGGCCTTTTAAAATGTGAAAAATACTTGAATTAATTACAAATTGAGGAATATATTGTAATTTTCTATTTTTTACAATTTAGATCTAGGGGCAGATCACTCTAACTGCAGAAAAATACCTTACAATCAGAACTCTTTAGTGTGCAGTGTAGAGAAGGTTCTTAATTAACTAGACAAAACAGTGAGGGATGCAGTTTGTAATTGACTAAAGAAATGACCTTCACCTTGAGTTCTCTTTGAGGGTCAAGGTTAGTTCCACACTGTGAGGTCAATATGGCATGAAGTCTTTGGAGTTCTAAGTGTTCCTTCATCAGCTTCTGGTAATTTTTCTCTATCTCTGATCGAGACAGCTAAAAAATAATATAAAATAAAAATGTCATTCAACTGAAAGGGTAACAGCTAGATAACAAATATTTGCAATTATATTTTACAACAATGAACCATTTTTTTGGCTATAAAGCCATCAATAACATTGGCATTGGAAGCAAATTGAGAGGGGGGCTGAGAAAAAAAGATCAAACCTACATAGCACATTGACAAGCAAAAAAATATATATCAAAAACAAGAGTGATAACTCTTCTATAGTCAGACTGATAAGAGAGATAACTCTTCTGTAATCAGACTTACAAGAGAGATAACTCTTCTGTAGTCAGACAAGAGAGATAACTCTTTTGTAGTCAGACAAGAGAGATAACTCTTCTGTAGTCACACTGACAAGAGAGATAACTCTTCTGTTGTCTGACTGACAAGATAGATAACTCTTCTGTAGTCAGACAAGAGAGAAAACTCTTCTGTAGTCACACTGACAAGAGAGATAACTCTTCTGTAGTCACACTGACAAGAGAGATAACTCTTCTGTTGTCTGACTGACAAGATAGATAACTCTTCTGTAGTCAGACTGACAAGAGAGATAACTCTTCTGTAGTCACACAGAAAAGAGAGATAACTCTTCTGTAGTCACACTGACAAGAGAGATAACTCTTCTGTTGTCTGACTGACAAGATAGATAACTCTTCTGTAGTCAGACTGACAAGAGAGATAACTCTTCTGTAGTCACACAGAAAAGAGAGATAACTCTTCTGTAGTCAGACAGACAAGACAGATAACTCTTCCGTAGTCAGACAGACAAGACAGATAACTCTTCTGTAGTCAGACAGACAAGACAGATAACTCTTCTGTAGTCAGACAAGAGAGATAACTCCTCTGTAGTCAGAAAGACAAGAGAGATAACTCTTCTGTAGTCAGAAAGACAAGAGAGATAACTCTTCTGTAGTCAGACTGACAAGAGAGATAACAACTCTTCTGACTGACAAGCGACAGGGTTCGACACTAATGGTGGACCGGCGGCCCGAGTCCACCAAAAAATTGGAAGGTCCACCAAATGTTCTGGACTAGGTGGACCGTCGGTCCACTTAAAATTTAAACACCGTATTAAAAAAAAAACAGTGAAATTCCAGGTTTTTTCTTAAATCCGTAACTCAAAATTATTAATTCCTCCATATCTGTATTTTACAAAAAAATATTATATATGTAAATAATGTTTTAGGTAATCAGGGGCACCTAGCAACTCGATATATTTTACATGTTAAATTGATAACTCCAACATTAAAACAATAATATTGAGATGCAAGAACATTCAATGTGGACCTTGAATAAGAAGCATGAAAAATCCGTGCCAAATTAGCCAGTCTCTCTTCTGTTTACGTAATGCATAGAGAGGTGTGAAAATCACTTCACGCCTGAACGCACACAGTTGGAGATAATTAGATTTGATTGACAGCTGCATTTATGCATTTTTTTTTTAATAGATGTTCAAATAGGCGTAATTTACATTTTATAACTAATCTGCAGTTTCATTTTTTTCTTGATTTATATTATATCTTTACTTATTTAAATAAATAATAAATTTAGAAAAATAATTGATTAATAGTTTAATACACATACATGTTTCTATCTCAGTTTTGCATCGTAGTTAAAAAAAAAAAGATCTAGCCATAAATACATAAAAAATTCACTTGTTTAATATTTGAATAAATTAATTAATAATTGGAATTTTAAATTTAATCTACTTTTGGAAACAAAATAAATGCAGGTTTTACGTTTTCACCATTGTAACTTAATGATAATAATTTTAAAAAAAAAATTTTCTGGTTTGTAGATTAGTACGTACGTTTTGGTTTTTTTTAAAGTTCAACTATATTTCTGACAAAAAAAATTCTGACTAGTCCCTAATTGATTTGATTCTGTTAACTGGTTAGATTTATGCTTTATAAGTCTGACTGGAATCGGCATGCATTAAAGTTAGCTTTAATTAATGCCTCATGTAATGATTCATTCATTAATTCAAACATTTATAAAGGTCCACCAGATATTGAGAAGGTCCACCAATAATTTTTGACAAGTAGACCTGCGGTCCACCAAGGTAAAAAAGTTAGTGTCGAACCCTGAGCGAGATAACTCCTCTCACCTCTTCACAGAGTTCTTCATCAGACAGGGTGCCGGTGGACAGAGAGAGAGAAATGTCAGAGCTGAGCGATGTGTCGTCTTCATCATACCCATAAAATGTTTCCTTTACACCCTGTAATTAATCAGAGTCAAGTCCTTAACTTACATTATTAGGAGGGTACTGAAAATCAAAAATCCAAAATTTTGTTATCCGAAAAAAACAATAAATCATATATTGTTACTGCATAAATGTATCAAAATTCCAATAATTCTTAATTATTAACCAGAAGTCTCGAGTCTGGAGCTCTGCTGGTTTGTACTTATAACAAAGGATGAGAAAAGCAGCCATTGCCATCAGATCAACCCTGTAGGAGGAGTAGCGTTTTAAAGGTATTTCACAGAAATTTCTATTTTTAGTAACCATAGCAACACCATTCATCAAAATCAAAAATCAATGCACTTAATTTTGTATCTTAATGTAGTCTACTTGTATGCCAAGTTATATTAAAATCAGACCAAAACTGTAGGAGGAGTAGCATTTTAAAAAATTGTTTACAGACAGACGGACAGCTAGACACCAGACAGACAGCTAGACAGATGGACGGGGGACATCTTACTATCACATAAGTTCCTCTGGTCTCTGAACAGTAGAGCTAAAAATCATAAAATAAAACATTTTATGTACTTTTTTTCAAAACATGCTTTGACTTTACAGGAACATACTATGCCCATGCATGCTTTAGAAAAGCTTTTGGATAATGTTTCTACCTTCTCATGAGGCCTTAAAGATTTTTTCTTCCTTTTCCTGTGCTGTACCAACTCTATCCTTCTGTCTTTCTCCTGTAAAAAGAGATAATCATTGAAATGGAATCCCACCTGACTCTACATGTATTTCATGACTTGGTCCAGAGAGCCAGCAGTACTATCTCAATAAGTATTATTTAGAGAACGAGACGGGTTCTGTATTGTAGATACAAACTTGGGGGTGGACGAGTGCGTAGCACAAGTCTCCACCCCCAAATTTGTATCTATGATACAGAACCTGTCGAGTTCTCTAAATGATTTGTGACACAATCAATCAAAAATAGCTCCTCCCACTTTATAACTGTGCAGCATCTAAACTTCCACCAGAGTTTTGGAGATGAGGCCCCGACGGGGAGTACGCATCTGCAGTATATATATTTCCGTGGAAAACCTTAGATTTGGTCAGATTAGTTTTGATAATTTAACGGGGTAGATGTAATGGAGTAATTTCAGTCTTAATGGATAAAGTGGAGGATTTAACCGTAATTATTGTGATCTATCATAGAGGGAGATTGATTATAATATATTTCAGGGGTCTTAAAATCCTATTTTAACTAGATTTACAAAAAAACAGGATTTACAGAAAATTCTTCAATGGACTTTGGTGTTACTGATTTTTTTTTTTTAATTGAATTGCTACATTAAAAACAAAGTGAAAGACACGTGTGGCTGTCGTAAGCGGAAAGGATTTTTAAAAATAAAAATGCAAAAAATGGACTTGAATGATTTTGCACGAGGAGAGGGGATGTTTTCGGTTATTGCGAATTTTCCTTTTCATTTGGATCTAAATTACGTGTAGATTCTGTGTGGAATACGTTTTTAAAAAGTGATTGAGAAATTTTGACATTTTACATTCTCAGGATTAATACCGGGTATTTCTCCAAAATTTATAATAGAACATCAGCTTTTACTATTTGTACGTGCTTTTGCTAAATTGAATCAGATTTATTTTTAGACCGTGCTGTATTTAAGATACAGAATAGTTGGCTAATGCAAGACAGTATACAGGGCTAATATAGAACGGAACGTAGCTCCACCCACCATAGTCCCGTTCTGTATTGCTAAATTACAGAACAGTAAACTTCAAAGAAAAACACCGCTATTGTGTCATAAGTGTTCATTATTAAGGTAAACCTTCATATAAATCCATACCTCCCACTTTAAACAAATGCAGATGTTTTACATGTACCAGTATCTAGCATCAACATATACATGTATATAAGACCACTAGGTGCTGTTAATTTTTTTTAGAAAATATTTTCTCTTTGTTGTGAGAAGAAATTGAAATGAACCATTAATGTAAGTTACATTGTATATCCTTAGTTTATCACAAGTCCCTGTAGTTTTTTGCCAAAGTAAAATATTTGTATATCTCTCAATACCGGTATTTTCCCAAAATTTTCTGAGCATTCAGAGCACTTAATTAATGGTATGTTTATGATCTTTTATTTATGCGGTGAATTTAATACTCAGTAACTCTCATTAATGGATATACAACTGTAAAATTCCTCTTACATTATTTAGGGACTATGACAAGTAAAACTTATAATCTCTGTAGCCAATCATTGAAAACAAAAAGTAACGTTCATGACAATAAAACAACAATAATGTCCACCTGGCAGGACATTTTTATTTAATTCAGTAATTACTTTTAAAATCTTGTTGTATACATCAGAAAAATTATATACTGCATGTATATTACAGTATATATACTGAGAAAAATAAGTTTAGCAAATGTTTTTCCATAGGTATAATTTTAAAAATATTTTTCGAATGTTTTATATATTTTGTTTCTACATAAGATTACTATAGAAAAAGGTAACAAAAGACACACTTCATTTTTTACCTTGACGTGCAGAAACCGCGTCGTCCGACGTTATGAAAATTCAAAAATATTCAAAAGGGTTTGCTCGAACGGACATGGTCCTGAAAGAATTTTTACTTGAAATGCCCTTTGAGCACGCTTGTAAAAGAAAACCGGTGAAAAATTGCAAAAACCTCGAATTGGAAAACGTTTTGACTTAAGCTTAAGATGTTTCATGATCCCGGGGCCTGGACTTTTCAAAAATAAATGTTGAACGACTATAGAGATGCTAACGCCAGTTGCTCAAACAGAAATGTCGCTGAACACTTTCTTATGCAAGATCCTTTCACTCTTACAACGTCGAGACATAACCGTTTCATGGCTACTTCTAAAGTTGCAGAGGAATTATGCCATGCAACTGGACTAAGGTTATGTGGACTAAGTGTTAAAAAAACCCAGCTAGGTTTGCAAATCTTCAAGCTCAAAATCTCTCACAGCAGTACTACTAACTCAATGTCATTGACAGTCCTGCCTTGCATGAGCAATGCCCGCACAACACGCAGTCTGTCTTTCATCAGGATGATGTTAAGATCTTTGATTGGCCAGATTTGTCACCCTTTGAACACGTTTGAGACATTCTTGGTCGTCGATTAAGACAGCGACATAACGTCAACAACGTAGTAGAACTAACCCTTGCCCTGCAGCAGGAGTTGAATCAGATCACCATGCTTGAGATCAGAACCTAATAAGGAGCATGAGACACCATTGTGTTGTTGCTATTGTTGTTATTGCTGCAATTGGAGACCTTACACATGTTGAAACTGAATTTGGCTTTTCAAACCAGTATCTGTGATCAGTTTCATGATATTTCTTAAAAACAGCACACAATTGTGGATAAAATTTGCCTTATTTTGTTATGTGATAACAAGCTCATATCACAATTTAATTGAAAGTGCTGTGTCTTTTTTTTTTTTTTTTACTTTGTTTTATCCTTGTTTTATAATAAATAAACTAATTTTGCTCAGTATATATCTTCCTTATTTTTTCTGGTTCAAATGATTATATCTCATGTGTACAGTGCAGAATACACCTATATGTTTACGTTTCATTGCACATCCAAGTGTATTTTGAATAAATTTAATGTCTGACTTCACAACCTGTTGTTACCTAATATGCACACCAAAAACTAGGTCATTGAGGTAGCCAACATCCAACAAACATGGGTAATAGTGCCTCTCCTCAAGAGCACATTGCTATGTGTGAGTCCCATGATTAACCTATTGACGTTATATGTGAGGACTGTGATAAAGTCATTTGTGAAGATTGTGCGAAATCAAATCATAGAGATCATAACTGGAAAACTTCAATCACGACAACCACTCAAAGGAGGAGAGGTCTGCTTAGATTTCTGAGGAAGATTAAGGAAGAAGATCTGCCTGGGATTGAAGAGAAGCTAGAAAAGACATCAAAACAGATCAACGAAAATAAAGAACTGTGTGACTGAAATGAAAAGGCTACAGAGGCATGTTGATGAAATAATGGTCAGGCTGACAGAAATCAAAAAATGTTATGAACAAACAATAAGAGACAATTTGGTAAAAAAGAATGATCAACTGAACCATGAGAAATCTGAGTTAGAAAAGAAGAGGAGAAGAATCATTGACACAGTGGAAAATATGGAGGAGAACAACAGCATCATGTCAGATTACAGCTTGATTGACAACTAAGGAAAATGCTGTCTGGATTGGAGGTCCACGAGTTGACAAACTGTGAACATTCAGTGAGGTTCATTAGAGGTGAAATTATTAATGACTTACTGAAGTCTTTGATTGGAAAAACTATTGATTTATATGATATTGGTGTGACTCAAATAAACTCATATCAATATGGAGATAAATCAATAAATATGTTGGAGGCTCTCAGTGAAGAACAATGTTACATCAGAGAAAATCAATCTAAATATACAGAAAAAGTCAATCAGCAAGGGAAAAAAATACAACAATTTATTGGTAGTATTATTTGTACAGACATGTGTGTGACTGATACTGGTGATGTCTATTTCAATGAAGGTAGAAACAATTCCATCAGCTGTCTGTCACCATCAGGATCTGTCTCTACAGTCATCAGCACAGATCCACTTGAACCATGGGGAATCTGTCAGTCAGTGGACGGTGGACTATTGGTCTCCCTGAGAGAAAGGGAATCATATCTTTACAAATTAGAGTCACACAGCAGACGTCTGGTGAGACACATCACAGTGACTGGTGATGTCATCCATGAGTATGAGTACCAGAAGGACGGTCACACCAGACTGTTTACATGGCCAATCAGAGTTATACAGAACAGTAACAGTGATATCTGTGTTGTGAACGCTACAAGTGACTTTATAGGTGAACTAGTGATTATTTCTCCCTCTGGTCGTATGAAGTCTGTCTACCGTGGACAGAACCTGACAAACCACTTTCATCCAGTCGATGTAGTGTGCGACTCCCTCTGTAACATCCTTATTACTGACATATTAAACAATCAGATCCATCTACTGAGTCCTGATGGGGAGTTCCTGAAGTTCTTACTGACAGAGAATGAAGAGAACGGTCCATACACACTGTCCCTCTACAAGACTACACTGTGGGTGGGATACTGGGAGGGACTTGTCAAAGTGTTTAAGTATAGAAATGTCAATAGAAAATATATTACTTGAAATTAGAATATTATTTATTTGAAATTACGTCTTCCAAAAATCACCAAACTGTAAATCCATACAATTACAGTCAGTGATTGTACATGTATGTACTGCATATCTTTTTTTTTTTCCTTTGCTAGATATCTACTTGGATAATTACACTTGTAGAGATCAAATTACTGTACAAAAATGATACCACTGACATATGTTTTGATATCAAACTTACATTAACAGATATATTAACTAAGCTTATATACATGTATAAACCAATGTTTTAATACAAAACCTCCATGTATGTTTATACATGTATGGTGTTATGTCTGATTTAATGAATTAATTACCGTTGAAATATTAACCTGTGATCAAAATCCAAACTTTTTCAAAATCATAGTAATATTTTCCCAGTTGTATAGGGACACATTCAAATTACTGATACAGGTCCATTCAATGCAAGTGAATAGTAGGGTAAGTCCTACCTTGAACAAACTTCCATGATCAATTCATAAAGAATGCACACTACCAGACCAGCTTTAGAACTGAAAGCTGAACACTTCTCATAAATAGGCACTGTCAGACGGGTATATAAACCGTTCGCGTTCGTTACATTGATTGCACACTCGAAACCCGTGGCCGACATGTAGTACGCCTATCGTGGTCTTAGATTTTTTGCGTTTATTTCTTGTTTTAATGTGCATTTTCTGTTTGTAAATAATGTATTGATCTAAATTTTCCATGATACTTTTGTCCTGTTTCTGAAAAAATGCGAAAAATTTTATAATTTCTTCGATATTGAGTAGCACGCTTTGTAAGATGTACATCTACACTCGTCGGATCTCTATAGTGAAATAAATTGAACTGACTAGCGATCTGCTCCTTATATACGAGTTGTAGGGAGAGCGTTGAAGAACGGGAAATATGGCGGACTATGCCTATTTACGAGTAGTGTTCAGCTTGAATGTCCAAGTTAAAGGTTTGGAATCCTATCCATTCCTTAGCATCTGTATTCTTTAGCCTAACTGTATATATATAGCATTTGTAGGGATAAGTTCCATAATCTGTTCATAGTGTGTTTATTTGAGCAACACAGAGTACATGTACTATCTGTTTTATTGTACTTCACCAAGAATCTGCACATGTAACGCAATTCAGTATCAAAATAAAATGTCAATTCAAAGAATATGCAAGATTTTTTTTCTAAAGTGAGTTTTTATGGCACTGGGTAATTTTATATCAAGTGAAAAAATATCTGTATCTGAATTTTACATCACACATGCAAGCAGTATGAAAGTAAATTAAATCTCCATGATGGATATAGAAAAGAATTGATGGCATATATCCCATTTAATTGACAGCAATTAGGGAAGAAGTACAATTAGCCCACAATGAAGAATAAACTAAGGAGACTAAATATGTACCTGAATTTCACTATCTTCCATTGGAGCAGTTAACATTTTCTAGACATCAAACAATTTTCAATTTCTGTGAAACTCAGTGAATAAATGTCCACATGTGCTTGACACAAGGGAAGTAACAAATTAACAGAGCAGTGCTCTAGTGCATAAATTGAATGTTACTTCCTTGAAACAAGGAATAATTTCTGTTATGCATCGATTCAATGAGTAACAGTTTAAAATTGTAGATAAATTGTGTTAAAAAATGGTCAAGGTCTTAGATTTCCCACAAATATTTCTCTCAAGAACCATACAGCTTCTTTTTAAAGTACTTCAGTTAATAGTATTCCACTTCAAGGTCATTTAGTGGAAAAAAAAAATCATCTATTTTGAGATAAAAAGATTACTAGATTTCAAATCCGAGTCAATGGAATTTTTTATTGTAATCAAAAACCAATAATTCAAATGCATCTGTGATTTAAAGGCAGGAATTTAATAAAATTTATAGAATTTTGAGTATACAGATAACACAATTCGATATTACCATATCAAAAATTAAATATGAGGGCCGTTCAAAAATTACGCGGACTTGTTGCACAGAAAAATTACTTGTCAATGACGACATAATGGGGCAAAATGTCACACATAATATAAAAGAATCTTTACTTATATGGTCTTCAAAATTTCATATCAAAATGTTGTAAATTGCAGAGCTGCCAACATTCTTGTCAAAGTTGTCAAAGCTTAATAATTTCTCCTGGTCACCACACCAAATGATCCTCTTACCTGTACATTGAGTTTGTCTCTCACCTATACAATGGGTTTGAGTGTCTCACCTGTACACTGACTTTGTCTCTCACCTGTACACTGAATTTGTTTGTCTTACCTGTACACTGAGTTTGAGTCTCTCACCAGTACACTGAATTTGTTTGTCTTACCTGTACACTGAGTCTGAGTCTCTCACCTGTACACTGTGTTTGAGTGTCTGACCTGTACACTGAGTTTGAGTCTCTCACCTGTACACTGAGTTTAAGTCACTTACCTGTACACTGAGTTTGAGTGTCTTACCTGTACACTGAGTTTGAGTGTCTTACCTGTACACTGAGTTTGAGTGTCTTACCTGTACACTGAGTTTGAGTGTCTTACCTGTACACTGAGTTTGAGTGTCTTACCTGTACACTGAGTTTGAGTGTCTTACCTGTACACTGAGTTTGAGTGTCTTACCTGTACACTGAGTTTGAGTGTCTTACCTGTACACTGAGTTTGAGTGTCTTACCTGTACACTGAATTTGAGTGTCTTACCTGTACACTGAGTTTGAGTGTCTTACCTGTACACTGAGTTTGAGTGTCTTACCTGTACACTGAGTTTGATTCCCTACCTGTACACTGAGTTTGAGTGTCCTCACCTATACACTGAGTTTGAGTGTCCTCACCTATACACTGAGTTTGAGTCCCATACCTGTACACTGAGTTTGAATGTCACACCTGTACATTGCATTTGAGTGTCTCACCTGTACACTGAGTTTGAGTTTCTCACCTGTACACTGAGTTTGAGTTTCTCACCTGTACACTGAGTTTGAGTTTGAGTGTCTCACCTGTACACTGAGTTTGAGTTTGAGTGTCTCACCTATACACTGAGTCTGAGTGTCTCACCTTTACACTGTGTTTGTGTCTCTCACCAGTACAATGAGTTTGCTTGTCTCACCTGTTCACTGAGTCTGAGTTTCTCACCTGGACATTGACTTTGAGTGTCTCACCTGTACACTGAGTCTGAGAGCTGTCAACGCCTTCTCCTGGTCAGCGCACTTCTGTTTGAGCTCCTGTAAGTTCTGAGTCTGCAGCTCTAGTGTTCCCTTCTCCAGCCTCTCCTGATGTAACTGCTGAGTCAGCTGTTTTATCTTCTTCTTACAATGCTCGCATTGGTCCTTCTGTAATGTGTTATGTTAAACTCAGGATTTGAAATTCACTTTATCATGTTTATACAACTCAAAAATGCCAGTGAGTAAGAATATTACATTTAAATTGCTAGAAGGTTTGTAAAATTGCAAGTTCATTTTAATAATACCTGCAATCATTTGTTTGTTGTTTATTCAAGAAGTTTCTACACCTGAAACTTTTAAATAATAGAGAGTCCAAAAAGGAAAGAAATATGAAAATTTATTATCATAGCCATGAAATATTTCTCTGGTCCATCAGATTTCTAGTTAAAGCTGAACACGATTTTTAAAAATAATGTGTCCGCCATTTTAGTTCCCGAGTCTCACTACCCTGCAGACCCCTATAAATAGGGCAAGAATTAGAGACTTGTCAGTGTAATCAGTCGACACCGGTGTAGACGAACGTGTGATATGCAGGACTCGTAGCGAGAATAATAACGTAATACTTCGTCTTATGCAGGAAAGTAAGATACCAAAAAATTTACAATTATAGTTGTATAAGTCAGTGCAGTATACAAACAACACAGATAAACGTAACTGCAATAAAATATAAACAAAGGTAAAGCAGGATAACCAGCACGAACACAGGTCGCCATTCCACGCGGATACCTGTGACAATAAAGCAGTCAGGTGTAACGAATGCGACGAGAATACCCTAATATTGATGTATCATATATAATGCTATCAAAAATGGCATATGTCTATTTAGGAGTCGTGTTCAGCTTTAAGGCCACCAACTATATTTACCAGTTTTTTATTGTCATCTGCTGTACTGTATAGTTGGTCCTTCGGATTTCTAGTTAAGTTTGTCAGCTGTACTTACCAGTTTTTTATTTTCCTCTGTTGTACTGTGTATTTGGTCCTTTAGATTTCTAGTTAAGGTAGTCAGCTCCACGTTTTTCTCCAGAAACTTCCTGTTTTTCTCATTAAGGGGCTTCAGCCTCTGTTCCAGGGCCTTGATACTCTGGTGCTAAAAAAGGAATCAAGTTCAATCATCCATTTAAGTATCTGGTGATTATTATGCCCCCTCCCAAAGGAATTAAATTTTTGATACCAACAAGGTGCATTTAAATAGGATTTTTAATTTTTAAAAAATATATTTGACCTAAAGTGACCTCCAAATGTATGGGACAATTTTTTGTACATTTCCAATTTAAAACCTCTTTTTTGGAATATTTTTCAATGAATTACCGGTGATTCTATTTGACAGACAATTATCACAGATAAACTGGTTGCCGTACCTGACTGATGTTCTCCTGTACCAGACTCTCGTTTGACTGTTGTAGTTTTCTGAGCTCCAGTTCCAGTGTACCAATCACCTACAGAACATCTCAAAACTTATTATTACAATAGATATTTCATGTACTTTTGGTTCTTTTTTTTCTAATTTAAGTGTATTAATCACTTGGGAATCATCTCAAGGCATATAATAATTATCTAAGATATTTATGTTTATCATCTAACTACATGTATGATTTTTTTTTTTTTGGGGGGGGGGGGGGTTACATGAACATTCAATGAATACTTTGTATGAAACAGTTCTACTGAATGTTGATTTACATTAAAATAAATGTCTCGCATTTAACAGATAATATGTTTATTATTAGGTAGTGGTGAAGATTCTATATTTTTATACCCCCCCGCTTGAAAAGCGGGAGGGTATATAGTAATCGTTAATTACGTCTGTCCGTCCGTCTGTACGTCCGTCCGTCCATCTGTTACACTTTGGGGTACCCATCTCTTATCCGCAACTCCTCTTATACCACTGAATGAAATTTGATGAAACTTTCACAGAATCTTTATTACATATTGCCATTGTACACCTCCTATTTTACTTTTTGATCTGACAAATATTTTGGGTTTCCCATAGCAAAACATGGACACTGTCAATTATACATATGGGAGGCGGGGGGTATCATTTAGTGAGCCCATTGCTCACAGTACCTTTAGTTTGTATTAAAAGAAATATAAGTAATGTCAGGTACCTGTGGACTAAGGTAAGACTGACTGTTTTGTAGGCTTATGTTAGATTGACTTACATCACTTATCTCTAGATAACTGATTTGATTGGCCAGGGTTATACTGACTAACAAAAGTATATAACTGTTTTGATTGGCTTGTGTTAGACAGACACACTGTAAATAACTTTCTCCATTGGCCAGAGTCACAGTACATAGCTGTTTTGATTGGCTAGTGTTAGATTGACCTACAGTAGATATCTGTTTTGATTGGTCAGTTGTGGACAAACTTACAGTAGACAACTGTTTTGATTGGCCAGACTTAAAGTAGACAACTTTTTTGATTGGCCAGACTTTACAGTAGACAATTATTTTGATTGGCCAGACTTTCCAGTAGATACTGTAAACCAACTTTTATTCGCGACAACTTTATTTTGCTATTTACAGGGGGTAAATTTTCGTGATCAAACCTTTTTTGAATCTGTTGTTAATACAACAGTGACTTTCAGGACCCATTCACAGCGAGAAATATTTGCGATGACGAGGCTCTCGCAAACTTCGTGAAAATTTCTCGCACGCGAATAAAAGTTGGTTTACAGTAACTATTTTGATTGGCCAGACTGACAGTAAATAACTGTTTTGGTTGGCTAGTATTATACCGACTAACAGTAGATAACTTCTGATTTGTCAATATTATCAGACTTACAGTACTTAGTCAACTGTTTTGTTTGGTGAATGTAAGACAGACTTATAGTAGACAACAGTTTTGATTGGCTAGTGTAGGTCAGACTTACAGTGGACAACTGTTTTGATTGGTGAATGTAAGACAGACTTACAGTAGATAACTGTTTTGATTGGCTAGACTTACAGTAGATAACTGTTTTGATTGGCCAGTCCCACTGCTTCCCTCCATCCTGTCCCTGCCCTGTTCACGTTCTATCCACCTCAAACCATTGTCTATGTCTGGCACTGCATAGTCTCTGTTTCTAAGTTTCTCAATCTACAAAAAAAAATCATTCATCTGAATAGATCAACTTACTAAACATAGGCCTGCTAGTTTTTGCAGCAATTGAATTTGACCTTTTATTTATATACCAATGGAATGTGTCTATGGAGAGCCAGGTTTTTCATATCACCTTTGAACCTAAATAATTCAAGCACCTGTAAGTTGTTCCATTCTATTTTACAACACTATGCTACCTCATTCTGCAAAGAAATAATTTGCTCAATAATGTTTAGATCAAATCCAACATATACTCTGAAAATCTAATGTATTGTATTGACCAGGGTGCAATACAGGGTGTAGTGAAATAGGAGTTCTACAGTATAATGAATTGCAACTTGTCAAAATCCTGTGGCCCGTAAAATAAAAGAACTTATAACTGAGACTAGATGATCCAATTGTTTTTAAAATTTTGCAAAATTAATCATTTTGTTTGAATTTGTCAGTGAAAAAATATTTTACTATACATTCCTTAAAAAAATGTTTCAAAACTATATTAATTTTACTATAAATGTAATGTAAATAAAAAATTTATAAGCAGATTTTGAAATTTTGGTCATAGTTGCATTAGGTCTTTGTAAAATGGGCCCCTGCAACCCTGAACCTATTGGATTTGTACATAAAAATTTCAAAATTCTGACAGAGGGCTAACTTCCTATAATAAGGATGATGTTACCTTGCAATACATGTATTTGAGTATAGAGAGGAATATTTTTTAACATATTTCTGAAAGTGACCTCTTCAGATGTCAATTCATAGCTCTCACACTAATTCCTGGGGCCTAAATGTGGAACCCATCCAGAGGACAGGAATTTTACATTTATGGTAAAAGACTGAGCAATTGTTCATTATTTTATCATATTCAGACATACATACTACTCATTTCCATTAGTGAGAAGACTTTCAGAGTTTTCTTTTATTACTAAATGCCAACTAATTATATTCTGAACATACATCTGATTTTTTTTAGAATGATTATCATAACAAGAGGCCCATAGTCCACTTCTAGATTCCTGAGCCGAGTGGTTGTAGGAAATCATGAATTTCACCAACTGAAGTTGGCTCATTCATATTCAAGCAAAGAGTTCATGTGCTGTCGTGTACATGCACTTCCAGGTGTTAAAAACATCATGATTTTATTTTTTAGTTTTAGCCTCATTCTTCATACCCTGGGGTTGTGAGGTGGGAATGAGACATGAAATTCCCAATTTTTATTCCTCTTCACCAATACATGCTATATGCTTAAATTGGTTCAGTTATTTTAGAGAGGTCAGGAAATTGAAAATGCTACAAGGCTCAAAAACAAGGATCCACGTATTCATAAAACAACTTATTTCTGCTCAAAAGAGCTACTAGCTACTTTTTAACTATTGCAAGTTCATAAAAGACAAACGTAATAAATCTGTCATAATCTTTAAAATAACACATTTTTTCTGCATTATATCTGCCAAATCTTAACTACCGCCCTACCGCCCCGGGCGCTAATTTTTTTTGGTACTCTTATGATATTTAATGTCATATTTTAACTTTTAAAAAATCTTTCGAAAAAAAATTAAAAACAAAGAACCACTTCAATAATGTCGAACTTTACTTCAAGTGAAGATAATCCACCAAATTATTTTAAATTATTCATTTTCCACTGAAAAATTGGATAATAGACAAGTTTCATTTTCACTTTCTTCAATATTTTGATACGATTCTTGGTTGATTTTAATCACTGTACAGGGGGCCCTCATTTCCTGACAATTGTAAAAGACCTAAGGGGGCGCTTATAGGGGCAGGGGCGGTTAATAGGGATTATACGGTATTTGCATCTATCTAAAACTAAGCTGGAATGTAAGCTTTAAGACAAGAGGTTTGTTTTGGCAAAGTGATCATTTAACCAAATGAACTTTGTACAACCCACACTCCAAGGAACAAACCAGGCATTAAAACAGGGTATTCTGCCAAAAATTCTATTAATTTGTCTTCATAGATATGAGGAAAGATTATTTATCAAAATAACTTGAATTTTTTTTTAAAGTATTTTTTCAACCTCTCAAGATTTTAAAGACTTATTTATAACCATTCCATAGATAAAAATTTCATCCACTTCTTTATCTGCATGCATATTTATTTAAAGTGTTTTCTATGAGAAAATATTTTATTAAAAATATAATTCCTCAAATTTATAAGTGCTTAATTTTGTATCAAACCAATTGCTTGTACATTTTATAACAATTGTTTTGTCAAATTAAAATTTTTCTCTGCTGATTGCTTACATGTAAAGAGATTGTGACCATTTTGACAATCTTTCATCCAACTGAATAATACACCAACACATGGTACATGTATTCTAAATGCTGATTCACAAATATTGGTAAGTTATAAATGTCAAGATAACATCTTGATATAAACACAAATGTGTTGTATCATTAGGTGCATCATGCTGTGTTCTGATTCAGACAGAAAACATGCTGCATCATAAGAAGCTTTCAGCGTGTTCAGCAAACAACTCTTTGTCACCATAGGTCCTTCAAATGAAGGTTACTAATACCTAGCTCAACCAAAGTTCTACAAAGATTCTGCCCACTTAGTGCTTTTTCTAATTTACAGAAATCTTTTAATATTAAACATTTAAATTTGTGGCCACTGGTTATTATAATGTTTATGCCCCCTTAAAAGAAGTTTTGGGGGTATATAGTTTTTTTTGTGTCTGTCCATCTGTCTAGCTGTCTCTCTGTCTGTCCACCTGTCTGTTTGTCCGCAAAAACTTTACCTTGCCCATAACTTTTGATTTAGGGGAGCTATGACTTTCATATTTCACATAAGTATTCCTTGAAACAAGACCTTTCTTTGGGTAACACCAGATATGACCCTTTGACCTTGACCTCTGAGTTTGACCGTCTTTTACACAAAAATTCCAAACTTTTACTTTGGCCATATCTTTTGAAAAGTTAGATGCCAGGACTTTTATGCTTCATATATGTATTCTTTGTGGCAAAACCTTTCATTAAGTACTAGCAACTTTGGCCTTTTGACTTTGACCTTGGAGCTTTCTGTACTTATTAAAATAGTTTAACCTTAACCATAACTTTTAAACAGAATGGGCTAGGGCTTTTATTCTTCACATATGTAATTCTTGTGAGAAGTCACTTCATTGGATATTAAGAACTTTTACTTTGGCCCTAATTTTAAACATTAGATACTAGGAATTTCATATTTCAAATATCAATTCTTTGTGGCAAGACCTTTGATTTGAAACCAACAATTCTGACCTTGACCTTGGACATTTCTGTACTTACGAAAAAACTTTAACCTTAGCCATAACTTTTGAATGGTAAGGGCTAGGGCTTTTCTACTTCAACAAGAGGCCCATGGGCCACATCGCTCACCTGAGCACTGTGGCTAGGACAAAGTAGAATTTGGTTTATTATTGAAAAGTTTAAATCCAAAAGTAGTCCCATGACCAATCATAGTTTTGCTATTCTTGAGAAGATGATTTTTAAAGAATTTTCCTATATATGTCAATGTAAAACTTTGGTTGGCCATTGTGGCTTCGTCCTACCCCCGAGGGTCATGATTTGAACAAACTTGAATCTACACTACCTGAGGATGCTTTCATATAAATAGGATTAATTATGGCCTTGTTATTCTTGAGATGAAGATTTTTAAAGAATTTTCCTATATATTTCTATGTAAAATTTTAGTCGGCCATTGTGGCCCCGCCCTATCCCCGGGGGTCATGATCTGAACAAATTTAAATCTACATTACCTGAGGATGCTTCCATATGAATATGAGCAATTATGGCCTTGTTATTCTTGAGAAGAAGATTTTTAAAGAATTTTCCTATATATTTCTATGTAAAACTTTGGTCGGCCATTGTGGCCCCGCCCTACCCCCGGGGGTCATGATTTGAACAAACTTGAATCTTCACTACCTGAGGATGTTTCCCCATAAGTTTCATCTTTCCTGGCACAGTGGTTCTTGAGAAGAAGATTTTTAAAACATACCACCAAATTTTCATTAATCCCAATTATCTCCCCTTGAATGAGGGCCTGGCCCTTCATTTGAACAAACTTAAATCCCCTTCACCCATGGATGCTTTGTGGCAAGTTTGGTTGAAATTGGCCAAGCGGTTCTTGAGAAGAAGTCGAAAATGTTAAAAGTTTACAGACAGACAGACAGACGGACAGACAGACAGACAGACAGCTAGACAAAATGTGATCAGAAAAGCTCACTTGAGCCTTCGGCTCAGGTGAGCTAAAAATGTAATCCTTGTGAGAAGACCTTGCATTGGATATCAACAACTTTGACCCTTTGACCTTGACCTTGAAGTTAGACCTACTTTTTACAAACTTTAACCTTGGCCATTAACCTTTTGAATGGTAAGGGTCAGCATTTTCATATGTAATCTTTGAGAAAAGACCTTTCTTTAGAAACTAAAAACCTTGTACCTTTGACCTTGACTCTGGAGTTTGTCGTACCTTCAAAAACGTTAACATTCGTCATATCCTTTGAACAGGTGGCGCAAGACTTTTATATTTCACATTTTTATTTCTTGTGAAAAGGCCTTACTTTAGGTACCAACATATTTGATCTGCATTTGACATGTTTGAGAAACCCTATGTTGCCTACGGGGGCATCAGTGTTTCACAAACACATCTTGTCCTTATAACATTTACTGAGTGACCTAGAACAAGGTCTTCACATTTTAAATGAAAAGCCAGAAAAGGCATCAACTTCATTCTCAAGTTTGAAATTTTTTTCAAATCAGACTCCAAAATTGTGACTCAGACTGATCTCAGAAACTCATATCATGACCTTTAACTTTCAAATATGATCTTGTACATGTTGAGCTAATTAAGTTCTTAATATACATTTAATAAGGTCATTTTTAATAATATCTGTATTAAAGTTGATATACAATCATTGGCTTAATTAAAAGTCTCAAGAGATCTAAATCTCTCATTGCCTTGACCTTTCAATTATGACCTCCAACGATCTTGACACACATACAAACACACAAACAATGTGTGTCAGCACACTCAGGTTTGTATCTTTTCAAAACAGTGTTAATAAAGTTATAAATTTATACCGTAATAGCCAGAAAATAATTTTGTGATAGACAAACAGCCATACTGAGACCAATATGTATTCCCTAGTTGGGAAAACTATTTACGATAAAAAGTTTTCATTCTTGAATTATTTTCAGTTCAGTTTATTGAAGTCAAAAGACATATATCTCATAGACAATGAAAACTGCATCCTTCTTTTGACGGAATGAAAACATCATCTGTAGATTTAGAGTATGACTAAAGTATGTCAAATCTGTCATCTTAATTATGCAACTATATAATCATCATGATAATTACAATCTACACACAGTACATAATTGATATATATAAGTAAATGAATAAATGTATTTCAGTCTTAACATCATTTTTGGGTTAAGTGTTGATTTGAACATATCTTATTGTTTAGATGCTACAACAAAAGGCTTGAACACAAGTTCTTAAAACTTAGATCGTCCTCTCCTTTACAACAATTAATTACACAAAGTATTGTTCAAAATTCATAGCCTAATTAATAGGGTTAATTGTTGTGAATCAATAAGAAAGAAGTCAATCATAAAACCACAACTAAACCATACTCTCTAAATTTATGAAAAAATAATTCATTAATAAAAATAAGTTACTTACGATTTTAATGAGGTGCCCTAACGTGGAATACACAGGTAGGTGACACGGATTCCGTGACGGAGGGATTAACGGATTATCTGTATAATTAACAGAATGACACGATTCCATTTTAATTAATTAAATTAATTAACCCCTTCAGTTAATTAATTAACCTCGGCAGAGGAAGGAGACACAGGTCTACACTACAACAGTTCTCTGATGTTACTGAGGAGAGAATTCTGCATTTGCTTAAGGTTTGAGGGGGGCTTTGGGGGGTTGCCAGAAAATTAATGTACAGCTCTGAAGTAATACTGGGGGAGAAGCATGGGGGCCTGAATGTCTACATCAGGGGTAATTACAACTGATTTTTAATTATTAGACAACAAACATCACATGTTGAGATGTAATGCTTTTAAAATTAATAGAGTTTTTGAAAGTGTCTGCTTCCAGATTTTAGAATCTTTATCATAATTAAGCCACATCATGTATCATGTTGGTTAATTATGAAACAGCTTGAGAGTTACAAATGATTACAGTGCCTTTATTAATTAAAAAAATTACATGTACTAGTAATTCAAAATAAAACAACTAACTGCATTTGAAATTATTTCTTTCAAAATTTGAAATTATTTTCCTTTATCATGTTCTTAAATGTTCATCATCATGATCATGTTCAAAAGGTTGACTGCCAATAAGCGTTGAAACGACGAACTTCCAATAATTTTGCTAAACTTTCAAAAGATTTTTATACACATCAAATAAAATTACTTTCTTGTATTAATCATCCCATAATAATCATGTTAATTGTGTCAATAGAAAAAAGAAAGTAAGTCTGATTATTCACATCCAATATAAACATGATAACCTCCAAGTACATGTAATTTATATGTAGAAGCTACCGATGTTTGGGTTGGTAAAACATGTATTTATGTAAACCTCGTGTCTGACAAAGTACATGATCACACCTAAGTCACCTGTAAGTAGGAAAATAATGGATGTGTTTGTTTTATTAGCTAGTACACTCGTTTTTTCCAGCTGAACATTTCTCTTACATACATTAACCAAAAGTGAATTAATTAGGCATTTTCAAGGATTATTTGATATCTTTGAGAACATATAATACATGAAGCAAAAATTAACAAAAAGAAAGACCAAATATGTGAGTGTATTCATAGACACCTCTACCCTCCCTTACTCAATTAAAAGCAGTGGGAGATTGTAATGCACAGTGTGTTTTTAAAGAGGGAAATTAAAGGAGGGGGGCTTGGGCCTTATTAATAATCCACCTTAATAGCTACCAGCAAATTTCTCTATTGTTCTTTACTAAAACATGGTGAGGGAGGGGTGGGGGTATGAAGACTCTTCACCCCTTGCCATCAGGATTCTCTACAGCCCCACCCTCTATCAAAACTCTTTTTAAAATTGTTCCCCTTCAACACACTTAATTGAAACTCTTAGAGAATTCTTGATAGTTCCCTAGCAGCCTGCAGAAACATAATTGTAAATCAATTTGTTTCCAACAGTTACCGATGTCTAGTAAAACGTAATCATTGAAAGAGATTTCGCAGATCAACAAAGAATTCAAGAACGCCAGAGAAAGAAACGGTATTGAAAACAGATTCTGGCGCGGTATCAAGAAAACTTCCAAACTTCGTACCAAACCATTTCCACTTTAAGTCCCTAGCACCAATTGATTCTATAGCATAAAAACATTAATTTCAACATGGAATCTTACAACACCGATTTTAGAGAGATGCTATTTATAACTTCTGGCAATCAACATGCAACTTTTGGAACTACTCGACACATCTGAGCCGAACAGCTCCAGGAATCCGTGTGACTGTTTCACATGTGTAAAATACTGAACATTAGCACAATAAATGTTGTTAGCAAGGTTATATAGGTGTATTAAGTAGAAACAAAGCACTCACCCTTCGCTTGTTGTGTTAATGCATCATCCCGCCACATGGAATTTCTGCACATTAGTCACAGCAGCCGACCTTGTGATTGCGCGAGATAAAAGCGAGATTAACTCCGATTAATAATACACATTAACTCAGCTAAATGCTTTTCTAAACGCACAAATGTCATTTAATTATATTGATATCATAGTACAAAAATAGGTATTATGCCATATATATAATAAATTGATATTGGTTACAAATTCCACCGAAGACTGGAGTTATTCCTCTTTGCCCGCTGCCATTGTATAGTGCTCCTAAAACAAGAGTTATTTCCCTTGAAGAACGGATTCCATGAAGTTGGGTAAACTAAATCAAATTCATGCTGTAAATGATTTTAGAGAATTCCTGTAGATCTATATGAATATTATTTAAAAACATGCTGAATGAATCTCGCTTACATGTTATATATTTATTGAAAAATAAAAGCTATGGACTCTTGTAACAGAACAATATCTAACACGTTAGTTTCAATAATAATTTTACATGTCCATAAAAATACACTTGTCTCATGTGTTTTAAATAATAATAAGTACTTTTGCATCTTTTTGTGATTATCTGGATTTATTTGTTGAATTAAAATCCCCGCCATGCATTAGAATACACAAAATTCGATACGGAAGAGCCTGCTCTACGCACGAACAATTTGTAAATTAAAAGGTCAAAGCTATTGACAAACAAGTTAATAAAACAAGGATATCAACAGTCAACATATTGCAAATTCTATGGTCGATACATCAATCTTGTCGGCAATACATTCTATAATTAAGTTAAGTGGTGACTGATAATTTTCATACCCAAAGTTAGGCCATTTTTCTTATACGTAGTGAACTATCTACATGTACGGATTTTTTTTTTCAGTTTTTCCAATCACGACAAATAGCACACGGTCGACAGGGAATGTTTACCACTCCACGACAGCGGATCCCACCTCTATGTTTAACTAGAACTCGAGGTCTGTGTTTGAACTGCTAACAAATTATTTTGTTTAAATGGATTTATAGCTAGATTACGTACTTTTACTTTATCTCTGTATAAGTCATCGTTACTGTACAATATTTATTTTTGTGCTTGTTTGTAAGTGTATCAGTAACTAGTCTAGCGCCTTTAAAAATGTTGTTTTTAGAGCATGTTCTTGTCTATCAAATCAGCTAAGAGACATACACAGCATATGCAGCTGATCAGTTGAAAGTGGAAAGTTACACATATATAATATAGATAAGGAAAGAGGACTACGGAGAAGTTGAAGTTATCCTGGTTTAGTTGTTAGTTGGAAATTAACGTATATAGCCAGTAGACAACCAAATAAATATCATACGAATGTCTTCGATATTTTAATTATATCTGGATCAAGGGGGTATAAGGCATGTAACGTGTCGATAGGAATTAAATAAAAATTGTTTATTGAAAAAAAAAATTGTCGACATACGCTGTATCTGAATACTGAATGAAGGGCAATGAAAAGTGATTTTTCTTCTCCACATACTGAAGCTAAGGCGGATAAAAACGGGTCGGCTAATTAAGGAGCCCAGCTAGTGCTCATTACAATTCCAACAGAATACTAGTTAGTACCTTGTCTCCAAGGAGAGATATTATCAATGAAGAATTAACTTCAGCATCCTGTTAATAGCAACTTTGTAGTACACGTGTTTTTGTTGATGACCGAGCGTAAGATGAAGGAAGGATATGGATTAGCTATTCTGAAATTTAAAACAATACAAAACTTTCAGTCACTGTTGAAATATACATTGGAGGAGTGAAATTCGACCGGTCAAATGCTCCTTGTCATGATCAAGAAGTAACAGAAAAATCCGTCGTCAATTCAGTGTATAAATAATGAACTTACAATTAGTATGAAAACCGTCAGTCAGCATTTGACTCAATGATAAATTGTATTTGCTGACAAGGTCATGCTTCAGCGTTGTCAACAACAATTTAAAGTTCCTGATAAAATTAATATAAAATATTATATAAAAATATAGAAATATTCCTCTAAGCCATTTGACAGGCGCTAAAAATCATATCAAGCACTTAAATTCATGACTTTGAAGTATGATGCCATGATCCATTAAATGGAATATAAAACCATAGATATGGCTAAACTGCATTGGAATAGTCCTATATATTGTCATTGAAGAACTCCAGCATCCTGTTACATGCAGTAGCATGTTTGTAGTACATGTGTTTTTGTTGATGACCTAGCATAAGATATGAAAATTTCTGAGGATCATAATATTTGTTGAATTAGAAGCAGTTGTTTATGATGTCAAAAACATAGAGGCTTGGTGGAACATTAATCAACTGGATCCTGCAAAGTATCTTTCTGTGTTCATTGACCTCAATAATTGAAATTATTTAAAATCAAAATTAAGGTGATTTTAAAGATTTTCATCTTTGGAGAGGGAAGTGTGACTATAAAAACGTTTCTAAAAATCTATAAACAATACAAGTCTTTGAATAGGGAATAAATACGGACCCCTAGGAAATACCAGAGGTGGGGTCAGGTGCCTGGGATTAGTAAGCATCCCCTGTTGACCTGTCACACCGTTCATGGGTCTTATGTATTGATCAGGTAAAAACAAACAAATTAATGAGCATGACATAAAACATTGTAGTCATAATAAATCAAATTTATTTCCATTGACTAAAATCCCTTGAAAGTATTTAAAAAGTTCTGTTTTAAATTTAGGTACAATTTTATCAATCAATATTTTATTCGTTTCGGTAAAACCGTATTTTTAAAAAAATCATAAAATAGATAACACACATATATATATACACTGTACACTGCATACATATAGATGCAAAAAGGCTCTCACAAGTGCAGTTTAATGATATGTCAGTGTGTGAACATTTTCAGATTTATCTAGTATAATGTCTTTTTATATCTACGTAGAAAAAACCAACAATATATATATGTTAAGCAATAAAGGATTACATATTAGGAATACGCCTGTCTGTATAATGAACGATCAGATAGCAGTCTACAAACTCTGGGTTAATACGTGTTCGACTGGGATACGTCTTATAATAAATCCATTCAATGTGTGCTAATTAAGCAACTAGCTTATACAATCCAGATAAAGACAATAATTTTCTCTATAAATTTTTCCAACCCTTATTTTAAAAGACTTCTCATACTCTACACATGTACAAAAATGAGCATCACATTACAGGTAGGGCATGTATAATCGCGTATGACAATGTTTGTATATACATGTATGTATTCGATTTATAGTATGTTTTATTCATGCTCTTGACTTTTAAAAACAAGTCTCTTGATTGTTCATCTGTTATAGATTGGACTAACCTACTTATGTAAATATAAGGCAATTAGGTATTTTCACTGCTAGACGTAGATGGAATTTAAAGCGCAACCTACGTATACACGTATTTCATCATTTAAAAAAATCTATAATTTCTTGAAATCTGATCGGCCCATCGTGTTGGAATCTCGACTCCGAACATTTAACAAATCCATTGGGAACTTAGACGGAATCGGACGATCTTTGATAACAAACAGTGGATATTTGAATTGCAATAGCTTAACAGAGTCAAAACTGCTAGAAATACAAACCTTTGTTGATTTGCCAAATGATAGCAATCCGAATCAATTGAGTGTTTTGTTCAACAGAGAACTCTGTAATACGTCTGTGAGACTTGTACAAGGTTTTTGCAGTCTATATATTTTTTTTCTGTCGAGTCATTGGTAGTCGATCGTGAAGCACCCTAAAATCAATGACAAAGATTCTTTGCCCATTAAAGTTAGGGCAGACAGAATTTTAATGAAAGCCATACATAATCAGGATTCAAACAAACCAAGGACCAAGTAACTTTTTCGTAATTTAAGCCATTTATCAAGAATATCAATGAAGACAAAATTTCAGGCTTCTAAATATCAGATATGAACTGATTCTCAAAATATCAGAAAGGAACAACTTGTATTTAAAGAAGTAATCGTTGATAATAATTTTATTTTGAACTCTGACCTACATCATTTCAGCATATGAATTCAACAATTTTAAGTCGTAAAACAATTTTAACTCGTAACTCCCTTTCCAAGCTTTTTTTACTCCTAAAAAATATAAACACATTGCAAGAGAAACTTCAGAAGTAGTGTGCAAAAGTAATTTCGAGACGTAGTGTTAACTAGACATGGATAATTTAAAGGAACTCCGAGAAAATTTTTGAAATCGCAGAATGTTACCGATATTAGTAGCATCAAATCGATTTGTTCAACAGTAATCACAATTTTTTTTATATATACAAGAAACTTTCACTTCAGCTTTCTTTTGCTTACCTTGTTAGAATATTGCAAAAGTGAGAACTGTCGGACTTAGGAATGGATAAGGCTGTTAATATAATTAGTAAAGAAGCGGAAAGACTGCTAATTAGTAAATAAAAGGTTAGGCTGATAAACAGTAAACATTGGGACAGGTCGCTAATTAACAAACAACAAGTTAATAGAACAAACTGTATTGAATTTTTTATACTTCTTTTTATCTACATTTCTATTTGTTAAGAAAATAAAAAGAAAATTAAAAAAATATTAGTTTTGTAACTTCTGTTCTTTCCTGAATTATTTAAGTGACAACCGCGGATCTCTGGTGATTCTCTTCCCATGAACGTGTCATTTTTATCCAAATGTCAGACAAAAAGGCAATGAATTCAATTTTAATGTGGTGTTAATACTAAATGTTTAATTTATTAACATTTAACACATTAATACTCCACACAATTTTTTTTGATAAAAATTTGTTTCTCTTTATTCAAGATAAAAAAAAATATAATACAAGTTGTTGTCCTTTAAAAAAAGGACTACAATACGTGGACCATATGCATGTGTTTCTAACAGAAATTCAATTAAAGAAAATTTCTAAGTTTTTTGGATATTCATGTAGGTTCGTTCACATTTTCTACAATGATCTGCCTACTTTGACTGACACATGTAGTACTATCATAGCAAAATTGTTAAATTCTATCTCCGATTGGCTTATTGTTTTGTCATTCTAAATATAAGGCTATTTTGATACATATAAACCATAATGGCTGGAACTTTACATAAACTAGCATTCTAATTAGAAATCAATAAATTAGGTGGTACACGTGTAGATATAACAGTAAACATTGCATGGGAAACCGTTGCTACAGGTTTGTATCAAGCTGTATTTGGATTCAAATCAAATTAAGTTAATACAAAACTAATGCCGGTGACTTTTAAAAAGCTATTGAATTTTTTAATTCAAGTTCTTAAGTTACCTATATAGCAAGTTTTTATTTTTTAAATTTCTAGAATTATTTAGTTTGCATATAGAAATATATATAAGAAAATAAAAAAATATTAGTTTTGTCAGAGGTCGGTAAGTTAGTCGGAAAGGCCCGAATTATTGGTGTATCGGAGTCAGACAACCGCGGGACTCTCTTCTCGCGCATGCGTAGCTAGCGTATGCCCAGGGCATCCGGTTTAACCTCGCTTTTTATCAAAACGCTCGTCACTGCGACAAAAACGCCTGTGCAATGAAAATTCAATTTTAATTTTTTTGATGCCGTGTTCATACTAAATGTTTAATTTATTAACATTTAACACATTATTTAATGGATATATATTTAAGATAAATGGAAAACGAAACGTTCTTCATTAACTTTCAGCACTGTTCAGGCTTTTTCTTGGTACAACACAACATATTTGACGTAAAAAAAATGTCATGCGAACGAGCCCGATCTAATAAAAATTTGTTTCTCTTTATTCAAGATAAAAAAAATATAATATGATCCAGTAGTGTAACGATTTCTACAATAGTTTGCCATGTCTGTTGTTGCACAAGAGAACACAGCTCTCGTGTCTTGACCAAAGACGAAACACAAAGTGACTAGAATGACGTCATTAATGGACGGAAGTCGCGTGGTACCAGGATTTAATCTTCGAAACACCTCCGCTTTTTAAAATACAAAATATTAATTAATTGATTAATTTTTTGTTGTTTATTTTTGAATTAAAAGGAATATAATACAATTGTACTGTGTTCTCTCTGTTTCAAAGGCATCAGATCGAAATATTGAAGAAAAATGATAACAGCTCCATTTTAATTCCTCAGTGTTGTTCTGTACAAGTTCAATGAATGTCATTGAGAAACGATGAATATATGAATGGCAATTTTTACTGTATACGAAAAAGACTTATTCGAGCAATATCCATCGCCATATCCGCAGTATCTGACCGTCTGCTCTATAGTCTTGGAGAAAGGAGTTGATTCTTTCGTCGCGGTTTCGAAGTCCATTGTGGAACGTGGAGACCGTTCCTTTGGATAAGACCGTATAAATGAGGTTCTTTGTCGCAGTAGATGCTGGCATGATTTCAAACTCCCCCTCACAGTGGCTCACCGCTCCATACCCATGAGTGCTGAGCAAAGGTCAAATTTTGCAGGTGGCATCTCCATATTACTGAAAAATTCTCGTTTTATTATTAATTCTTAAACAGAAGGTATTAGAATGAACTTCAAAGAATTGTTTAATTTTTTTGTTTTACTGTATATAGAATCAGGATTTTAATTTTCGCGGAATATGTTTTGATCGAGAACATCTTGAAATCAAAAACTTTGCAATATATTTCAATTTTACCGTATATAAACACACTTTCGCCGACCAAGAGGTTTCTGATATGCTAGTATCCCCATAAACCAATATATAGCATGCGGGGATTATGAAGAGTGAAGCGTATCAGAAAACCTTGGCTAGCGAAGATGGGTGAAAACACAGAAAGTGACAGATTAAAAAAAAATCAAAGCATGTACACAGTTTCTGAAAAAAGAACTTCGACCTAGCTCAAAAATGTAGCTCCAAGTTCATCGATCCTAGATACATGTTGTAAATGGTATCGGCATCTTCCATTTCGGGTATAAAGCCGGGCTATGATGCCTTATTCATGGAAGTCGTCAATAACTAAGCCAAACATCACATTCATTAATAGACTTCCCGCCGATTAAACACAGATTTTTTTGAATGGAATATTGGTTCTCAATTGTGACGTTAATATCTGACTCTCGTTTTACTGAATGGACAAAAGGTTAGGTCTGTATCGCTTTTTCTTCAATTGATATTTTTTGGAAATTTTATTTTTTTCTGAAGCGATATGAAATGAAAGGTATCAAATATATATACACTTATAAGTGATTATAGAAATTAAACTTACGAGAAGACCACGGGAAACCTTAATTGGTAATCCCCCATCCTGGACTCGGTCACGTGACTATAACAGACAACTTCCGATGCCAATATATCTGTATGAGTTCTGTGTAGTAACGCAAGTCTTTAACAGCTTTCACTATCGTGGTAAAAAATTCTGTGGTAACTAAACTACAACAATTAGTTTAAACGGAGAAATTATTGCAGCCATGATTTAGACGCAAAGGATTAAAAAGTGTACATTGGACGATTAAAGGTGAGTATTTGTGTGTGTGTGTGTGTGTGTGTGTTCTAATGAAAAAAAAATATTGTTTTTTCCATACCCCGTTATGTTTTTTGCATTTTGAAAAGCAGCTTTGAATATTTTAATCATATTTTTTTCTCTTAAAAGTTTTTATCAGTGTTTTTGCGTGAAATTGATATACATATAAGGGCATTTCAGTATACTACTGATTGCAGTAATAAGAATACACCGATGATTTAATGTGCGATATTTTGAGAGTAATTAGGATCTATACATGTAGTTAGATCCATCGCTTCCAACAAATTAATAGGTATTGAATATAATTTAAACCCCTTAAATGTATCTCAAAAATATCTACAATGTATTTTAAAGCTCTCGAAATCGAAACAATAAGCTGATACTTTTTTTCTCATACTGGTATGTCTTTATACATGTACATATCGAGAGAAAAAAACTTTGAAGGAAACCTGAAATCTCTCGGTTTAAGGTCTTAATTTACAGAATAATATTCAGTATGAAAACGGATATTTTCCCTTCTAATAAAAGCTGTCCATAAATTATACAATATGGGTCGTTGATGTGCTTTTACGGGAAGTCATCGGGAAAGATTTGAAACAATCGAATCAATACATTAAAAGTTAATGTAAACATAGATCAATTAAGGCCTCAAAAACCTTGTCATAAAGTTACATAAAGCGCCAAATGCTCTTACCATTAATTTGTATTGTTATAAATGGAAATTTCTTTCAATTCGTCAATTACTATTGCGTTGTAAATAACCTCGGCATATTCTATGGTACTTATGAAATGGATCGATGGATCGGGATCGGGGTTCCGTGTTTGCAATTGCCCCTTTTCATCTGCCTGTCGGTTGCTCTAAGCCGTCTATGAATAGTAAATACGTTTCTTGTTTTCTTGACAAAGAATTTGCGCCTGTCATAACTACATGTAGTTCTGAACCTCAAATCTTCCACAAAAGAAAATCTTTACGTTTATCTGAAATATGAAGAAAAAAAATGTATGACAACACTTGCAATGCTTTTTTCCCCACTTCATATTTTCATTTTTATATTCACACTGAGGCCAATCACATGTCAGATATTTTGTAGTAATTTTGCAACATGTAGTCCTCAATTGTTTTTAAAAAATTATGTCTTTTTCTATTTTAAAATCCATCTTCATGGACACTAATTTCCCGACGAGTTTTGTACATAACAATCATTCATATTCATTTTCATTAAAATAAACTTTTATCTCGATTAAATGAATGAATTTCATGAAAAAATCTTCTTTTTTTGAGAATATGAAAAAGAAATGAAACTCAAACTTCTTTTGAAATCAATGCAATACTTACTTTCATGCCCTGACCTTAGATCAATGTTTTAAATCACTGTGTTTGACACTGGTCGCTACTATTGACAATCAACGTTAATGTTTTACTCTTAATTAAAATCTACTCAGTTACAATTAAGCACATTCTGTTCAGAAGCCAATAGTCATATAGATTTTTAAAGTGGCCCAAAACGTGTATTTGATAGAAAAAATTCTCCAAATCTTTAATTCAAAGGTCATCTTTATAGATAGGAAGTTTTACCAAAAATGGTTATTGTGACGATTCGAACACGTGCGTAGGCGGATGGACTATTTGGGCGGGCTGAGCAAATGTCAGTCCAATATAAGACTTAGGCACGTATTAAAAATAATATCTTTGTTTACAGTGTGCTGAGCTGAAAATACTTGTAAATATTTGTTTTACATATGTAAAGCGGTGTTTACAAACCATTTTCTGAACAAATTCTTCAATCCGTAAGTACTAGTAAATGACTGTTCAGTTTTTAAGCAATGAATCTCAAACATGCATGCCTGACAGGTTCAAGTTTTAAAGGTAACTATAAACATTATTTATATATTAATTAATTAAGTATATTCAAAAGTGGTTAAATATGATTACTTGAATATTTATCAAAGTTGAAATCAATTTTAAGAAGTAATAACAATCCATTACATCAACGCAGATTTACGCATTAAAACTTCTATCGGTCAAGATCTGTATTTTAAATAGTAATAAGAAAGAAATCTTTTTTTAGGGAAAATCAACTTAATATTTGAGATTGTGTTCCTATATTTAATATATAGGAAAACAAGGTACCAGTCTGACTTTAAATGTTAATCGACCTATGTTCGAGTTTTTTTTATAGTATTAGTTTTGCTATAGGCCTAATTATATTTTTAATGAAATGTATAATTTTGAGTAGGCGTTATTAATTTAAAACAAACCCTTGAGAGTATCCTTTTTCAGGTGTTGTAAAGCAATTACCATTAGTCATTTAAGCGTTAAAAATGAAAGAGGGGGCCACATACATGTAGCCATCCAACAAGGTAGGTACATGTACGTTTACCCTGGTTAAAGTCGAGCAGGGCTGTCAGGTGCAAGGTCTGTTTAAGTCCCTCATTCCCTCACTCAAATCACATAAAAATCAACAGACCTAAATTTTTTGTTAATCTAGTACAATCAAAAAGTTTATGTATACTTTTTCATATCAGAAAAAATGAAGTCTTAGTCTAGTACAGAAATGTCCAAATAGGAGGAGAGATTGGGGAATTATCTTTGCCAAGGATTGTTTTACAAACCGAACTACACTGTATACTGCTGTGGCACCATAAGAAATGAAAAGCGATAAGTTCTTCGAGGGTTAAAATATGGATAATGTGTGCTTTTGGGTCGCATAGGTTTTGATTTAAAATGCAGTCATTATATTTTCTGTATGTTCACGCTATGTTTTGGTCCTCATACTATGTATTGCTGTCGATCGTCAGAATGATATTCTGAACATTTGAATTGTGCAATTATCAGATGACTTAAATACATATGTAGTGGGTATAAAGTCGCGATTTAAGGAACTGATCCTTACTTCGAGGGTTCATTTAGTATATCGTACATCTATTCATTCATGTCCAAGTTCGTAGAAAAATAGCACGAAAAAGCCCCCCCCCCCCCCTTCTCTCCTCAGTGACATCAGATTTAATTCTGCAACTTTCCATTCGCACTTGGTGGCGTCCAATGAGCGAAAAATTCTCAAAGAGGACATAAAGAAAGCAAACATCCTCAGTAATGAGAACTTTTAACTTTGATTAAGTCTGTTTGCAAAGAAATATTTGCTATCGAAATATACAAAAAGTTACGGACCATTTCATTTGAACAGTTAAAAGGAACGAAGTGATTAGTTTGTTCGTAGAATCGTGTAATGGCCATTTTTTCCGTTAACACGTTATGATATAATGACAAAAGTTCAAAGACAAATTAGAAGAATGAAATTTCGATAAACTGTTGTAAATCGTTACTCAGTGACATGTTGAACTGTGGAAACTAATTTAACTGACTGCCTTTTGAATGATAAAATTTTAGTTGAAATCGGTTTTTCTTTTGAATCAGTTTTAACGTCAGTGTGATCTGTATACAATTGTTCAACCCCCATCCTAAAATTATCTTTTTTTAAATTTGCAAAACCCCCACGACTCTGTCGTCAGATCGACCGAGGGTTGTCTATTTCCGGTGGCAACAACCCACTTTTCGGGTGCAGCCAAAAGCATTTCCGTTAGGTCAGAGGATACCATATTTAGAAAAAGACGCACTCAAATTCTGCTTACGTCACAATCCGGCAGAGGGTCAGCATGGATTTTTTAGCACATTATTGGTGTGAAATACAATATGAAAATGTATGTCTTGTGTTGATAGAGTAATATTGAGTCTTAATTTACACTTTATTAATGTTTTGCAGTTTTCTGTGTTGAGAGGGGGGATTAGATCGATGAATGACAACGTTTATTGGAGGCTGTAGTAAACTGTCTGAATTACTCCTAGGAAATTAATTATTGAGCAATATGTTCACAATTTAGGGTCCCATTAATAGACAACCTTCAGACTCGTGTTTGATGTTCAATTAAAAATTCTATTGTAAGCGTCCATTCACTTAGTCTAGAATTAAGAAAGGGACATTTCGGTTTCTTGGTGATCGCCAGTACAGATAAGCTGCTATATTCCGTCTTCCCATGTTCTGTCCTATGGTATATTCCGTAATGGAAGAGATGTACCGACTGAACTCTTTCTTTACTCGGTATGTGGGGGATGTATGTTGGTTAATCGCCGGAAATGAATTGATGTTCACATGATGGTAGAATAATTTTTTGCATTTTAATAAATGAATCTATATATAGATCCAAGCCTTTCCTCCCGTTATTTCTGTAGGAGCGTTTGACGTATGTAACACTGTCCTGAAATCAGTGTCAAATAAATACTCATGCACTTTTTGCGATTTATTTTGGTCTATACAATTACACGTACATGATAATTACTAACAGCATAGAGTCCCTATTTTCTATTTAACGGTCACATTGAGGGTGTCTTAGATGTGACAACAAGGGTACGAACCATATTAGGGTGGTAGGGAAGGGTCAGAATAACCTCCAAACTTTCAATTATTAAATTGACTTAATTAAGTAATCTACATTGAACATGGGATGCGTCCTTAGACACATGGCAACGTCTCTTAAATGGAGTCTACCGGGGTAGATTGTAATGCTTTATTGATCCTGTTGGCTTTTTGTTTTGGGGTAGGTTAAGATTTTTCTACATTTTTTTCACCCTCTCTCCCGTTTTATAGGTTCCCCTCCTGATCCACCACGGCGTATTCGCTTGGAATGATCGCCTGGAATGTTCTCGATATCTCCTTGAAAACAGCCAAGTGTTAAATCAGACTCCGTCATCTGTTGTGGAATCTGACGACACTGAGTAGATATCGAGAGAGATAAAGCACACTGAAGCTATGTAAATTGTCTTTCTATGAATATAAATGTCCCTTCAAGACCAGGAATTCCGACTCCAATGCATGACAAATACACCGGAGTGCGGTCAGTCCTATAATGCACAAATACATCAGGTTTTTCAGAGAGGCGGAATCCGTCCGCATTAATGTTAATTATGTCAGTCCTTAATGTGATCCCGACCAATTTAT